CGTACCAGGGGTTAAGGCGTCATGGATTGAACGGGGATGTTTGATTGCCTTGCACATAAATGACCCTGGCTCTGTTTGCAGACCTGATGGTGCCCTGAGCACCGGCAGGGATGGCCCCAAAACAAAACTCTAAAAACCTGGTGTCCCAGTTCTTTGCTCCATCTGCCTCGCCCTTCCCTTCCAGCTCCCTCATCTTCCTGTAGCTGTCTCAGTCCCCCCACCCTTCTTTCATTCCTATCCAAAACACATGTGCCATGTGCTCTGCACTTTTGTAAGTTTGGGACTCTAGGAGGAGAATAGGAATACGCCGAACAGACACGATCTCTGTCCTCAGGGGTGGCAAGAAGCAGGGCCCCAAGGAAGCAGAAACCTGAGCAGTGTGTTAGAGGCGGATGGGAGGAAGGAGAGCGGGTGAGGGTGGGGACAGTGGGGTTCACTAAGAAAGGGAAACTCGGGGTGGGGGGTTGGCTGTAGCGATAGAACAGCGGGTAGGGCATCTGCCTTGCACGTGGCCTACCTGGGTTCGATTCCCAGCATCCCACATGGTCCCCTGAGTACTGCTAGGAGTAATTCCTGAGTGCAAAGCCAGGAGTAACCCCTGTGCATCGCCTGGTGTGATCTAAAAGGGAAAATAAACCCCAAAAAAACAAGAAAGGGAAACTCGGGCTCATGAAAATGGGGGTCTGGAAATGCTGCCTCCAAGTTCAGACCCTCCCCTGGAGGTTTTTTTTTTTTGGGGTCACACCCAGCGATGCACAGGGGTTACTCCTGGTTCATGCACTCAGGAATTACTCCTGGCCATGCTCGGGGGACCATATGGGGTGCTGGGAATCGAACCTGGGTCAGGCCGCATACAAGGCAAACGCCCTACCTGCGGTGCTATCACTCTAGCCCGTCCCCTGGACTTTTAGGACAGGTTCTTTGTGGATTTTATTTTGGGTTGGGGTGGGAGTGGGGGCAGTACTCAGGCTATTCCCAGGTCTGTGTTCCTGGAAGTTTTGGGGGAGCATGCTGGGCCAGGGTTTTGGACCGGGGCCACCTGCGTGCAGAGCCTGTGCTCAGTCAGTGAAACTGAATCCTGCTTCTTGAATTTTACCTCGAGGAGGTATCTTGGTTGTTGTTGATTTCTGGACCCCACCTGGCGGTGCACATGAGTTAACTCCTAGGTCTGTGCCAGAGATTGAACCAGGTCAGCTGCGTGCAAGGCAAGCACCCTACCTGCTGCACTATCCCTGGCCCTATAGGGGACATCTTTAGAGAGGCAGTTCTACCTGTTCATTTTACATCTGGGGAAACTGAGATGGGGAAACATAGACACGAATGAGTAGAATAGGGGTTGGGGGTATAGGGACAGGAAGAGATGGGAACCTCTGTGAGCTCCTGGACCCCCTGCCCTTCACATTGGCCCGAGAACATTGCCCCCATCCCCACCCCCCACAAGAGTCTCTTCAGGGCTGGCCGCTTGGCTGTTTGTCTTGGTCAGTACTGATGTTAATAAATGACTCAAGGCCCAGTTCTGGAGCAAAGGTCTTGATTCACAAATAGTGGGAGGCACTAGCTCCCTGCCCCCTTCCCTCCCAGGGGAGGCAGCCCCTCTACCTTCCAGCCCAGGGTCAGGTCCCTCTGCCAGCGTGACTTTGTGGAAACCCGCTGGTCCTGCCCCATATCTGTCTGAGGCTCCCCAGTTTGGTGCCCCACTTGAGGGGCCTGGACTGGAGGAAAGAGCTCTGGGTTGATTCTTGGCTTTAGTTCTGGAGTGACCACGGACAAGCCCCTTCAACTTCTGGACCTTGGGACTCGAGCTATAGTACAGCTTATATATATATATATGTGTGTGTGTGTATATATATATATGTGTGTGTGTGTGTGTATATATATATATATACTTATAGTATATATGGGGGCTGGAGCGATAGCACAGCGGTAGGGCATTTGCCTTGCACTCAGCCAACATGGCCGACCTGAGTTCGATTCCTCGGCCCCTCTCGGAGAGCCCGGCAACTACCCAGAGTATCTCGCCTGCACGGCAGAGCCTGGCAAGCTACCTGTGATGTATTCGATATCCCAGACACAGTAACAAGTGTCACAATGGAGACGTTACTGGGCCCACTCGAGCAAATCGATGAACAAAGGGAGGACCGTGACTGTGACCAATTATAGTATATATACCGGTTGTGGTCAACCCGTGTTCAATTCCCAGCATCCCCTATGGTTCCCCGAGCACTGCCAGGAGTAATTCCTGAGCATAGCTGGGTGTGACCCAAAAAGCAAAAAAAAAAAAAAAAAGAAAGAAAGAAAACAATTTCCTGACCTTCTGTTTTCTCATCTTGAATGTGAGGACACAGGACTCGGGAAAGGTCAGAAAGCCGGAGTGCCTGCAGTGGATACAGGAACCCTGGGTTCTGTCCCCAGCACAGCATGGTCTTCCGTGTGCCAGGCCAGAAGTCGTTCCCTGAGCACTGCTGAAGGACTAACAGAATCAGCACGATGATGCGAGTGTTCAAGATCTACTGCTAGAAAAGTGGGTCAGGGATCCCTAGCCAGACCGTGTCCTTGGTGAATAGTCTAGAGCGAGATTCCCTAATTCTGGTTCAAAAATTTCACAGGCCACACTGCCCAGGGTTGAGAATTACCCTTGTTTGTTGTTTGTTTGTTTGTGGGCCAGATCCTGTGGATGCTCAGGGTCTTTTCCTGCCTCTTTGCCCAGGAGTGGCCCTTCACTGTGCTCAGGGGACCGGCTGTGGTGACAGGGTTGTAGACCAGGGTGAGGCTGAAGCGTGCAAGGCAAGCACTTCGCATCCTGTGCCCTCTCCAGCCTCAGAATTAATTTTTTCCTTTATGTTTTTTGCCCTCCCCTGAAGGCGCTCAGGAGCCGCTCCTGTCTCTGTGCGTACAGTGACCCCTGGCATTGCTCAGGGACCATTGGGGGTGCTGGGGATTGAACCAGGGTGGATGGGATGCAAGGCAAGCACCTTAACCTTGTACTGTTTCACCTACCTCTGTATCACGGCTTTAAGATGCTTTTTTCTTTTTTTCTTTTTTTTTTTAATATATATATATTTGGACCAGACCTGTCAGTACACTCAGGGATGACTTCTGGTGAGGCTGGGGTCACTATCTGGGATGCTGGGGGTTGAGCCTGGGTTGGCCATTGCAAGGCTAATGCCCTCCCTGCTGTACTATCACTCCGGCCCCTAAGATGCATTTTAAAGTTTTGACTTCTTACTTTGGGCCACACCCAGCAGTGTTTTATGGCAATGCCTGGCTTGGTGCCTGGGAGTCACTCCCAGCAGTACTCAGGGGACCGGGCAGTGCTGGGGATCAAACCCGGACCTCTTGCATGCCAAGTATGTGTTTCAGCCCTTTACGCCATCTTTCTGGCTCAGTATATATCTCTGCATTTTTCTCTTTTTTGGAGAAGGGGTATACCTCACAGTGCTCAGGCTTACTCCCTCTTCAGCCGTGTCGAAAGCAAGCAATGCCCTCCCCCCAAGTACTTCTGTTCTGGCCGCATTTTCCCATTTTATCAGTCCCCGTGTCTACTTCATATTTTGGAAGAAAGTAATATTACTTAGATACAACACATTTATTTTCATCACCGAAAAGGCTTGAAAAGGGAAAGGACTTGCTGTTACTCAGGATCCACCCTGCTGCGGGGACGTGGGCTGGCCAGGATGGCCCCCTGATGAAGAACCAGCAGGACACTTTTCAGCCTTGCTGCCAGCTGCCCCAAGATTTGTGAAATCAGGTTTGCTGCAGCTGTGGCCGCAGACTGGAAGCTAGCTCTGTTCCTGCTGGGCCTTGAGGGCTGGACCTGGTGGTTTGTCCCTGTGCTCTGAACAAAGCACACACCCAAGGTTCATTCATTCATCATTCATTCATTCTTTTCTACAGTGCCCCTGAAGGGCTGCACTGGGCAGGTATTTGTCAGTTACTGTTGAATGACTGTATCTTACCTTGCCCTGCTTTGTACCCAGTCTCCCTGTCTTTATCTGCCAAATCTGCCCTGGCCTCCTAGAGTCAGACCAGAATCACCTCCTCATAGAGTTTGCTCGCTTTGCCAGAGCACAGCTGTTTTTTTTTTTGGGGGGGGGAGGGTTCATACCCGGCAGTGCACAGAGGTTACTCCTGGCTCATGCACTCAGGAATTACTCCTGGCGGTCCTCGGGGGACCATATGGGGTACTGGAAATTGAGTCCGGGTTGGCCGTGTGCAAGGCAAACGCTGTGCTATTGCTCCAGCCCCACAGCTGGTTTCTTCCACCAGACTGTGATCTCTACAAGGACAGATCCTTTGTGGAGGGTGGTGAGCACGGGGGCAGGCAGTAGACAGGCATTGTGAAGCGAGCACTGAGGTTCTGGCTCCTGAACAGAGTCAGAGAACCTGCATTCAGTGCCCAGAGAGCTAGTGCCACAGCTTAGCCACTGACAGTGCATACCGTCTTTCATCCTGCGTTCAGTCCCCGTCACTGCAAAGGCCTCCTGAGCGTAGTCAGGAGTAAGCCCTGAGTACCATTGGACATGGCCCTTCCCCCAACCCACCGCCAAAGAACCTGTGTTCAAAAAGGAGCTTGGTGTTCTGAGGCAGTGCCGAAGATCGAATCTGAGGCTCCCATGGGCAATGCGTGTTCTCCTGCCCTTTGAGGCATCTTCCCAGCTCAAGCAATGGGCTTGAGGCGGATGCTCAGGCAGGGAGTTGCAGTTTGCTGGCCTAAGCAGAGGACCCGTTGGAAGGGAATGAAGGCAGGGAGGCTGGTGAGGTGGACGTGGGGCTGGCAGCCCTCCTGACTCCTTGTGGCCCTGTGAAGTCTCAGGCAGCAAAGGCACAGCCAGGGACCACGTCTGCAGCACCGACTTCCAGTCCGTTTCATTTTCTGGATTCCATGGTCCCGTTCCCAGAAATGTGGGTCGCTCACCTGGGGGAGCAGGCCTTCCGGGTCCTCGGAGGACCCAGCACTGCCCCAGCCCTGGCCCATCCCCCTGAACGCCTCTGTCCCACAGCTTCTATTCCAAGGACAATGAAGGCAGCTGGTTCCGCTCCCTCTTTGTGCACAAGGTGGATCCCCGGAAGGATGCCCACTCCACGCTGCTGTCCAAGAAGGAGACTAGCAACCTCTACAAGATTCAGTGTGAGTGACTGCCCGCGCTGGGCCTCTGCGGGAAAGGGAAGGGTGTTGGGATATCGTAGCTTCCCTGGGCACTGTGGCCCTATGAGTCTCCCTGCCCCAGCTCCCCACAGACACCCCCACTCCACTTCATCTCTCTGCCTCTTCCCTATCTTACAGTTCACAACGTGAAGCCCGAGTGTCTGGATGCCTACAACAATCTCACGTGAGCATGCAGTTCCATCCGCCCGACTCAGCTCCCGCCCGGGGGAGGCACCAACCCAGTCCCCTTCCCCTGGCAGTAATCCAGGGGCTGGAGACAGCAGAGCCGGCACCCCTCAGGAGACCTGTCTAGACTCTGCCTCTGAGAAAGGGAGAGACCAGGGTCCTCGGGGGGTCCATGTCGGAAACCCCTTCTCTGCACAGGCCTGGTGGCTGGTGTAAGCCAACGCTCTCTCTCTCTGCCCCTTCCCCAGGGAGGCAGTGCTGCCCAAGCTCCACCTGGACGAGGACTACCCCTGCTCGCTCGTGGGCAACTGGAATACGTGGTACGGGGAGCAGGACCAGGCAGGTGAGGTGCTCCAGCACCCCTCCCCCACACACACCTCTGAGGGACATGCCCTGCTTGTCTCCTCCGTGGGCCCTGCCCTGCTGCCAGCCTCATCTCACCCCGGCCTCCTTGTTTCGTGCTGGATTCCAGGCTGGGGGGGGGATCCATGCTGTTTTCTCTGTCTGATGCTTTTTTTTTTTTTCCGGTGGAAGTGCGGGGTTGGACTGTACCCCAGCAGTGCTCAGGGCTTATTCCTGGCTCTGTGCTCAGGAGTGAGCCCTGGTAGTGTTGTGGGGACTGTATGCAGTATTAGGGATTTGAACCAGGGTTGGCCACATTCTAGGCAAGTGCCTAACCCGCTGTACTCTTTCTTCAGCCCTGCCTAAAGCATTCATTCACCCTCGCTCACTCGCCCATTCCTCTTTCACTTTGCTGGATCATCTCCCCCTGCCCCCCAAGGTCCTTTCATTTTCCCTCCACCCCAGCTGGGCCTGGTACTTCCCTTGACTCCCCAGCCCTAGGACTTATCTTTTCCTAGACCTGAGTGTCTACCCTTTCCTGGACTTCCCTGTCTCCCCAGGCACTTGGTGAGTTCTGAGGTGGCCTTCTGCCTTTCTCTGCCACCCTGCGCCAGAGAAAAAAGCAAAAATCCATTAACATTGTTGATTCAGACTGAGTATTGCAGGGAGTGTTCCTCTAGTACTGCTAGAATTTCTTTCTTGTTTTGTTTTTTGGGCCATGCTGGGCAATTCTCAGGACTTAACTCCTGACTCTACACTCAGGAATCACTCCTAGCGGTGCTTAGGGGACCTCATGGGATGCTGGGGATCAAACACGGGTTGGACCAGAGCAAGGCAAACGCCCTACCTGGTGTATTGCTCCATTCCCTAGAATTCCTCTCTTGATCACTGCCAGAAACAGCGAAATCACTGCTCCTAACTAGCCTATTTCTTCAACAGCCTTAGCATGTCTTTAAATTGGGGGGAGCGGGGGGGGGGGGGGGGAATCAGTGATCTGCAACTAGATTCCCTTGATCATTTTTATTTTTTATTTTATTTATTTATTTTTGCTTTTTGGGTCACACCCGGCGATGCACAGGGGTTATTCCTGGCTCATGCACTCAGGAATTACTCCTGGTGGTGCTCAGGGGACCATATAGGATGCTGGGAATTGAACCCGGGTTGGCTGCATGCAAGGCCAACACCCTACCCACTGTGCTATCGCTCCAGCCCCCCCTTCATCATTTTTAGAGAGTGATACATCAATGAGAAAAGCCTTCAGCTTTACCCTCTAATATTTCCCTTGTTTTACTACTGTATATTTTTGGGGATACGCCCAGTGTTGCTCAGGGACCATGCAGTACCAGGGATTGAACCCAGGGTTCCTATATACTTAGGATGCTCCCGGATGCACTCTGGCCACACAACTGTTTCTTTCCTGATGTAATGAATAGTTTTCACCAGTGGTAGGTTAGTATTGTCCTCGGGCTGTCACAGGAGAATTGTATAAACTGGGTGACTTAAGACAAGAGAAATGGGGTGATAGAGGTGGCTCAAAGGGCTGGGCTTGAGTATTTTGCATGCCAGAGGCCCAAGTTCAGTCCTGTACATTGTATTTCCCTCCCATTCCCCAGCATCTCAGGCTGTGGTCCTGAAACCCAAAAAGCAACATATTCTGGGGCTGGAGCGATAGCACAGCAGGTAGGGCATTTGCCTTGCATGCAGCCAACCCAGTTTCGATTCCCAGCATCCCATATGGTTCCCTGAGCACCGCCAGGAGTAACTCCTGAGTGCAGAGCCAGGAGTAACACCTGTGCATCACCAGATGTGACCCAAAAGGCAAAAAAACAAAAAGCAACATATTCTTTGAAGCTGTAGAGCCAGAAGTTGTTTTATGAGGTTGGTTTGATGCTGTATCTTGGTGTTTGGGGGTTGCTCCCATTGGTGCTTGGGGGATCAGGTGCCGGGACTTGAACCCACAACCATGTGAGGCAAGTGCCCTTCCCCTGGAGCTACATCCCAGTGCCCTGGAGCTGGAAGTGTGAAATCAGCATGTTGGCTGGGCTGTGATCTGTGCAAAGGCTAGAGGGGTGAATCTATTCTTGCCTTTCCCCGCTTCTGGTGGTAAATGAACTCTCCGATGGCCCCTCACCCCCGAGTACATGTGGCAGTGAGTCATCCATACTGTTCTATTCCGAGGTTTCTTTTTTTTTCCTGGGCCACAGCGGTGGTGCTCAGGAGCTCTTCCTGGCACATTGCTCAGGGGTGGCTGCTGGTGGTGCTCAGTGAGAGATGTGTTGAGGTCGACCCTGGCTGCCTCCACACAAGCCATGAACACGCTCCCTTGGGGCTGTCTCCCTGACCCTTGGTTTCTTTTTCAATTCGCTGTGTTGGAATGCTCCATTCATCTTTTCAGAACTACCTTCCTCATTGGCCTAGCCTGTCCTCACAGCCTGCTGAGCCTTTTCTGATGTTGTTTTACCAGGGATGTTGGCCCAGGACCCTGGGATGTCCCCGGTGGTGCTGGAGGCTACCAGTGCCACACCTGGTGGTGCTGCAAGATAGGGATGCAGTGCCAGGGAGCAAACCTAGTGCCTTGCAGATGCAAAGCTCTTACCACTTGAACCACATCCCCAGCCCCTTGGTGATCAGTTTATTGGGTTCTACTGCTTCTCAGGGGCTGGAGTGATAGCACAGCGGTAGGGCATTTGCCTTGCTTGCAGCTGGCCTGGCCGAGCCAGGTTCGATTCCTCCGCCCCTCTCGGAGAGCCTGGCAAGCTACCCGTGATGAATTCGATATGCCAAACACAGTAATAACAAGTCTCATAATGGAGACGTTACTGGGCCCGCTCAAACAAATCGATAAACAACGAGAGGACAGTGCTACAGTGCTGCTTCTCAGGAAAATCTGATCCTGCTTTTGTGACTTAAAGAAAGGTGGTAGGGACCATTCCCATTTTTCAGATGAGAAAGAACATTGATGCTGGGGGTGGGGAGTGGGGGGAAGGGCAGTATCAAAGGCTCTTGGAAGAGCTGGGCTGATCCTTGGCCTTTGGGCTTTGGGCTGACAGTTACCTGGACCCAGCATTGCCCCTCATTGAGCCAAGGAGACCTCAGAGACGCCTAGTGCAGCAGGGACCCATAGTGACGACACCTCTTACACACAAGGCAGTGTTGGAATAACTGGGCAGAGTCCTGGCGCTGCCCAGATGTGTACCTCTTTCTTTATTTTTGTTCTGGGGCCACTGGTGATGCTCAGGGGTTCCTTCTGGCTCTGTGCCCAGGAGTCACTCTTGGCAGTGCTTGGGGTCCCATATGGGATGCCAGAGATTGAACCTGGGTCAGCTGTGTGCAAGGCCAATGCCCTCCGTGCTGTAGCGTCGCTTCGGTCCCTGATGTGTGCCTCTTGTCCTCTTGTGGTCCCCTCCCTCGCCCCGACAGTGCACCTGTGGCGCTTCTCAGGCGGTTACCCAGCCCTCATGGACTGCATGAACAAGCTCAAAAACAACAAGGTAAATCCCTCCTGCTCGGCCAGCCTCTCTGGGTATGAGCTGTGGCCCAGTACTCCCAGTGGGGGGCCCTGCCAGTGACTGTCTCCTGACCACCGTGCCCACAGGAGTACCTAGAGTTCCGGAAGGAGCGGAGCCGGATGCTGCTGTCCAGGAGAAACCAGATGCTCCTCGAGTTCAGCTTCTGGAACGAGCCCCAGCCCAGAGCAGGCCCCAACATCTATGAGCTGCGGACATACAAGCTGAAGGTGCCTCCCTCCCATCTGCCCCACTACAGGTTCCCCTGAGGTCGGCGGCTCAGTACCCCAGCACCCACATCCCTAAACCAGGGCTTCTGACCTCTCCTTGTAGACTCAGGACTGACATGTGGGCCCGAGAGATAGTACAGGATTAAAGCATTTTGCGTGCCACTAACCTCTGTTCAATGACCTTGATTTGATCCCTGGCACTGCATACGGTCCTCCGGTACTGCCGAGTATGACCCAACCCTTCCACCCGAAAATAGCCAAAAGCAGAACTGAAGTGTGCATGCACCGTGCCCGTGGGCACATGCAGGTTTGGGTGGGAAACACCCTCCAGCCCCCAAGGAGGTCCAGCAGCTCCCAGAGCTGGGGAGATACCTGGTGGTTCCCCCACCTCTGCTACTCCACTGTGGCGCTGAGAATCGTGAGTTTGGGGCTCATTTTTCTCCTTCCTCTTATTCTCTTTCAGCCAGGAACCATGATCGAATGGGGGAACAACTGGTGAGTGACAGGACCAAGGTTTTGGGGTTCCCCTTTTGCAGGGCCCTTTTGTTTGGGAGGGAGCGAGCATCCTTTGCCCCCATTCCTCCAGGCAAGGGCTCCAGGCCGGAAGGGAGGATTTTCTAGTGCGGAGTTCTGCATTGTAACTGGCCTACACCCACTTTTCCAGAAAAAGAATCACTATGCCCTCTGGAAATTTACCGTCTTTAAGGGAACAAATTCTGATCCCCATTGCACCAGAGGCTACTCACGCTTTTTATGATTTTTTTCTCGCGCCCACTAGGGGGCGATATCACTTAGTTTTGGGAAACCGCCTATTGGGCTCCTGTGCCCGGGCCTTCATCCATCCCTGTCCCTCTCAGAGAGCTGAGTGCACTACCCTCGAGGGATCAGCTAGGGGACACCTTCCTACCTGGCCACTGTCTCACATACATCTGCCATCCCCAGGGCTCGGGCCATCAAGTACCGGCAGGAGAACCAGGAGGCGGTGGGCGGCTTCTTCTCACAAATAGGAGAGCTCTACGTGGTACACCATCTCTGGGGTAGGCGCCCACCACTACCCGCGGCCCCCCCCCCCACCCCCCGTGGTCCCCTCTCCACTCACTCTGCATTTATAGTGAGATAACATTAGTGGCCTTGGGGAGTTTGTGTTCTAACAAAGAAATAGTTCTTCAGAAGTAAACTAACAAGCAAGGTGATTTCAAGTTATTATAAATAATAGACATGGAGAGAGGAAGAAGAACAAGGGAATCTACATCGGTCTTGGTAAACAAGAAAGGCAACTTGGAGGAAATCAAATGTCAGCCCAGTTAAAGAATGAAAGGGGTCAGTTGAACTGGCTGTTCTAAATTCAAGAGGCCCATGTTTGATCCCTGAGACTGTTGGGAACGACCTGTGAGCACTGATTGAGAGTAATCCCCAAGCTTTGCTGGGTATTGCACCCCCTCTACACACACACACACACACACACACACACACACACACGAAAAAAGATGAAGCTAGTTGTGAGTTTCTAAGGAAGTGTCTTACAAGTCAAGGGAGTAGCATGTTCAAAGGCCCTGGGGTTGGGAAAGGCCTTTGAGATTTCGAGGAATGCAAAGGAGATCACTGTGGACAGTGGGGTAGAGCAGGAAGAGATGAAATAGGAGGGGGGTGTTGGCCAGATCAAGCTGGGCCTTGGAGACCATGGGGAGGAGATGGAACTTATCTAACAAGCCATGGGGTGGGGTGGGGGACAGCAGCTTTATTTTCCTCTGGGCCACGCCCAGCAGTGCCTGGGGACAACTCCCCTCTCAGTGTTCAAGGGTTTGCTTCCAGTGGTGCTCTGGGGATTGAACCCAGGCTTCCCGTGTGCAAAGCAAGCACTTCAGCCCTTGGAGCTACCTCTGCGGCCCTGCTACCACTCTGTTTTGTTTGGTTTTGGGCTATTCCCTGTGATGCTCAGGGTGGAGCGATAACACAGCGGGTAGGGCATTTACCTTGTACACGGCTCACCCAGGTTCGATTCCTCCACCCCTCTTGGAGAGCCTGGTAAGCTACCAAGAGTATCCCGCCTGCATGGCAGAGGTTGGCAAGCTCCCTGTGGTGTATTTGATAGGCCAAAAACAGTAACAACAAGTCTCAGAGTGGAGAGGTTACTGGTGCCCGCTTGAGCAAATTGATGAGCCACGGGAGGACAGTGTTACAGTACTCAGGGCTTACGCCTGGCTCTACACTCAAGGTTCACTCCTGGCAGTGCTCAGGGTTCCCTGGAATAGAACCCGGGTCAGCCACGTGCAAGACAAATGCCCTACCTGCTGTACTATCCTGCTGCCACATTTTAAGCAGCCCGGCTTGCCCTGACGTGTATTCTAATCGGCTGCCTGGACGCCATGTGCTTTGCCACGAGGGCCTTGCAGGGGGGCCGGAGAGGAAAGTTTCAGGCGAGGCTTGCACTAGTTCCTGTGGGAGAGGGTGGGGACCCAGTCTCAGGTTTGGCAGGGAGGATGCTGAGAAGTGCACAGATTCATTTGTGTGGAGGCAGATCCCACAGGACACGGATGAATTGTATGTTGGGGGAGCCAGAAGAGAACCCCAGAACCCCCACGCCCTTGGCTGAGCTGCCGAGGGTCCCTAACTCTGACTTGAGGATGAGCGGGTTGGAAGCCCAGGAGTCTGGAGTGTTACATTTGACAATGCAGGTGGATGTGGCAAGTAGATACCGGCTGTTTAAGTTCTCTTAGGAGTCCGGAGCCTGAGGGATATTTCTGGGCTGGAAATACACACGTGGGTGTCATCAGTAAATGAATCGATTGGATGAGATCCTGAGCAGTGTTGGTCGGAGGCTCCCGGGTCTGTGGCAGAAGAGGCACAGGACAGCATGTGGGATGGTGGGAGGAGGGCCCCGTGTGGGTTCTGAGCATCCTGGGCTCCTGGGCACCAAGCCTGTCATCTCCCACAGCCTATAAAGACCTGCAGTCTCGGGAGGAGACTCGGAACGCTGCCTGGAGGAAGAGGGGCTGGGACCAAAACGTCTACTATACAGGTGAGCATCCGGGGTGGCGGGGGGCTTGGGGCCCCAGAGATGGACTCCCCGGCCAGGAGAGACAGTCTCACTTGATTGGCTCCGGTGGTGGGAGACTCAGAGAGTGGGCAGGTTTCTGTCTTGGTGACACATCCCTGGTGGCACTGCCCTGGGCTCCCACACCTTAGACTGGCATGTAAGTCTGGTAGAGCCAGGAGTTCCCAGCCCACCAGGAGTGATCCCCAAATGCAGAGCCATGAGTTCCTGAGCACTGCCAGGTGTGACCAAAACCAAACTGAGCAAACAAGACAACACTCAGACCAATGAGTAGGGGGCTAGGTGGGGACCCGGCTGTGGTGGAGGGAACGTCTTGCCTGGTTCCATCTCCAGTGGTGCTTACAGTGGGGTGCTGGGGATTGAGCTGCATGCAAGGCAAGTGCTTTCTGTGCTGTTTTGTTTCAGGTGTGTGTGTGTGTGTGTGTGTGTGTGTGTGTGTGTGTGTGTGTTTTGGAACTTAGTGTTGTCTTAGTCAGTATTTGTGAAACTACTTTTGGAGTAATTCCTCTTGGAGGGGCTGGAGCGATAGCACAGCGGGTAGGGCATTTGCCTTGCACACGTCCGACCTGGGTTCGATTCCTCCGCCCTTCTTGGAGAGCCCGGCAAGCTACCCGTGGCGTATTCGATATACCAAAAACAGTAACAACAAATCTCACAATGGAGACTTACTGGTGCCCACTGAGCAGATTGATGAACAATGGGAAGACAATGCTACAGTGCTGCAGTACTACTTTTGGAGGCCACAGCAGGTGGTACTCAGGGACTCTGTGCTCAGGGATCACTCTCAGTGGTACTCACAGGACCATATGCAATGCCAGGGATGTAACAGGGGTTGGCTGCATGCAAGGCAGATGCCTTACCTTCTGTGCTATCTCTCTAGCCTATGGAAAAAAATTTAAAAACAAAACAAAACTTGGGGGCAGACCAATAATGCTACAGTGGGTAAGACGCCTTTCTTGGATGTGGCTGACCTGGGTTATATCCCCGGCTTCCCACATGGTCCCCTGAGCACTGCCAGGAGTTATTTCTGAAAACAGTACCAGGAGTCACCACTAAGCATTGCCAGGTATGACCCAAAAACAAAAGCAAAAAAAAAAACAAAAAAAAATTTTTTTTTTCATCACACTTTGCTGTGCTCAGGGCTTACTCCTGGCTCTGAGCTCAGGGATCACTTCTCACAGGGCCCCAGGGACCATATGCCATGCCAAAGATTGTTTTGGGTCTTTTTGGGAGGTTTTGGGTCACATCCGGTGATACTCAAGGGTTACTCTTGGGATTACCCCGTGGTGCTTGGAGGTCTATATGGAATGCCGGGATCAAACCCATGTTGGCCACGTGTCAGGCAAATGCCCTCCCTGCCGTTCTATTGTGCCAGTCCCCAGCCATGCCAAGGAATAAATCCATGTCAGATGTGTACAAGGGAAGCTTCCTACCACTGTACTATTACTCTGACCCCCAATTGGTTTTTGTTTTTTGGGCCATACCTAGTGTTGCTCAGGTGTCACTCCTGGCAGTGCTTGGATATTGGGATGCTGGGGATTGAACCCAAGTCAGCTGCATGCAAGGCGAGCATCTTACCTGCTGTACTGTCTCTCTGACCGCCCCCCCCCTTTTTTTTCCTTTAAGGAAGGTAGTTTTTAACTGAAGCTTTCTTAGAAAGATGTGAGGGGAGAGAAAGTTCTTGTTCAGTAGAGAACACAGCTTTCTCCCGAGTGGAAAAAGCACGGAAAGGTACAAGCAACTAACATGTGTTCAAGGACTTGGAGAGATAGTTCAGCTGGTAAGATGCTTGCCATGCTCATGGCCAACTGGGGTTCTATCTCTGACACCCTCTCTGGTCCCCAGAGCACCACCAGGAGTGATTTCTGAGTTTAGAGCCAGGAGAAACCCCTGACCATTGCCAGGTGTGCCCCCCCCAACAAATAAACAAAAAGACACATGTTCAAGTATCCCTGTACTAAAAGCAGGTTTTAATTTCTCTGAATTGAAAACTAAGCCACCAAATTTTTTTTATTAAAAATTTTTTTTGCTTTTTTGATTTTTGTACCATACGTGGCTATGTTCAGGGATTGCTCCTGGCTCTGTGCTCAGTGATCACTCCTGGCAGGGAGTCCACAGTGCTGGAATCGAACCCGGATCCAGTGCACTATCTCTCCAGTCCTTGAAAAACATTTATTTACTTATTTATTTATTTTTGGGGGTCGCACCAGCGATGCTCAGGGGTTACTCCTGGCGGTGCTTAGGGGACCATATGGGATGCTGGGAATCGAACCCGGGTCAGCCACATGCAAGGCAAACGCCCTACCCGCTGTGCTATTGCTCCAGCCCCCAAAAACATTTAAAGTTCACCTAAATTCCCGCTTTTCCCACAATTTGGGAGACCTAACCTTCTCCCTGGGCCCTCCCAGCAGAGAAGTGGGGTCTTTCCTGACTGGGCATTCCCGACTCCCTCTCCCTTCAAAGGCAGCCCCTGGATGACCTCTGCTTCTCTCTCCTCAGTCCCCTTGGTGCGACACATGGAGTCTCGGATCATGATCCCCTTGAAGATATCTCCTCTTCAGTGACGCAGCTGCTGCCGCCACCGCCCCCTCTCCCCAGGGCAGCCACGCGCGGAGGAGCTGTGGGGCCTTCCATCTCCCGGATCTGGGAGGACTCTGGGAGCAGGGGCATCCTCTCATAGTGCTCAGCTTAGAGAAGGGGGAGCTAAAGATGTTCCGGGTTCTGAGGACTTCATAGACCCTTTCCACCCACCCCTACTTTCCCCCTCCCCCCATCCCTGGGCTAAAAGCAGGTTTTAATTTCTCTGAATGAAGAACAGCAACCTTTCCTGTCTTCTCTTTCTCCTAAGATTCGTCATCCCCAAGCCACCAGTCCCTAATTTTCATGACAGAATCCTCTATTTTGTGACCATGGCACAAAGTGTAGTGAAGCATGACTGGTGGTTAGAAGTGGGTGGGAGGGTTGGATGGCAGACCAAGCCAGGCTCTCAGGAATTCCCTGGTTTCCACGGGGCTGTTAACCCATTTTCTGAACAGTCCCTTTGACTGGAGAAAAGTCTCGAACTGGCTGAAAAATAAAGGAAGTTAGCACTCAAGTTAGCACTGTTAGCTAGAGGGCTCCAAGCTATCCCCAAGAGGATGGAAGCTGGGAAGGATGTGGGGGGTAGGAAACAGACTGGCATAGGAACCCAGAAGGTAGAATTGGAATTGAGAGCCTGGATTTAAGATGCAGCAATTAGAATATGGTACTGTGCCCAAGGATGTACAGAATGGTACAGCACTGTGTGTGTGGGTTCCTGGGTTCTATCCCTGGCACTGCCAAAAAAATAAATAAATAATTGGGAAACTAGTGATGAGAGGTCACTTGGTGGAGGGTTCCTAATAAAAGACATGGATGGGGCCAGAGTGATAGTACACTTGTCCAGCACATGGTCAACCCTGGTTTGATTCCCTGCGTCATTTCTGATCCCAGGGGCCCTGACAGGATTGATCCCTGGGCACAGAGCAAGATATAAGCCCAGAGCTACACTAGGTGTCCCCCTCCCCCCAAAAAAATCAACAAAAAAACAAAAGCAAAAAGACATGGAGAGAAGCTCATCTGTTCCATCAGTATAATAAGTTGAGAACTTGGATGGAAAGTTCCAGCATTTCTGTGTTGGGAGAGTCTCCTGTCCTCCAGGCACAGCTATAGGCCCAGCCCTAGTTTTCCATCACCCCACATTCTTTTCTCCCTCTCACAGTCTATAATCCCAACTCTCATTCCTTACGGTCCCCAACTGTATGGTGCAGGGTCAGTGATTTTGGAGGGAGGGGGCTCCTCATTGACCCTGTCACCTCATAAACCCCTGGGTCACTTGATTCTGCCACCCTTTTTGGAAAACTTGTTCTGAAGTCGCTGATGGAACCAATTAAATATTTACTATAAACTATGGTGTCTTTTCTTCATGGTAAGGAAATGTGACAGGTGCCAGAGGTAGCTAGGAGCAGAGCAGACCGGTTTCCATCAGGCCAGGTGAGCCCCACGAAGGTTCATGTGTGTCTTGAGCTTGTAAAGGCTACCCTAATAACCAGCTCAAGACGGTAACACACTTAGTTCCGTATAGACTTAAATCAGTGCTTCCGAGTCCTCTTATACCTTTTACCTCTTTTACATTTCATATGCAGAAAATACTTGAAACTGTCTAATTGCAGCTGCTGCATTAGACCTGTGACTGTCCAGGGGGAAACTGGCTGTGCTCCTGCCGGGAGGCGTTGGAGGGGGGACACACACACACACGTACATATGCACGTACGTGTAAATTGGCTTTAATGCCTTTCCAGACTGCTGCCATTACTAGTGTGGAGCGTTAGAATAAATGATAGTGGTTAGCAACCCAGGGGACCAAGGCAAAAATATAGGAATCCAGAGGCAGAACATTGCCATGTTCTTGTATTATCTTGGGCATAAATTCATGCAAATACGTGGCAGAGTGTCCACTAGTTGCTTGGCAACGTTAGGTGCTGGGGAAAGTGACTAGGCCTTTGCAGTCTGGATCTTGGCCTTTTACAGGAGGTAGCTGGCCCTACCACCTCCCAGAGGCTGCCTCTGCACCAATGCGGCCAAGCGCTGGGATAGGGGGAGCGGAGGGGCGGGGCGAGAGGCGGCGCTTCGCTTCCGGCCTCCCACCTCACTTCCGGCCGGCTGCTCCGCTTTTCCGCTTCTCTATGGTGCGCGGGCGCTCGGCCGCCGGAAGTGGCTCGCTGGCGGCGGCAGGTTCGGAGATCCTGCCTGAGGTGAGGTGGGCGCCGGGACCGCGGGGCCGGCGTGGAGACGGGAGAAGGGGGCGGGGGTTTCCGGGACGGGGACCTGGGTTCGAGCCGTCGCCGTCACCGCCGCCGCCGCCCTTGCCCCGGTGGCCGTCCCCGGCGGCAGCTCGACGGCTCGGTTTCCTCCTCAGGAAAGTGTCTCTGGGGCCACGTCCGCCGTGGTCAGGGGCTGCTCGTGGCCCTGCGCTCGGGCATCGCTCCCGGCGGGCTCGGGGCACCCCGTGGGGGGCGGGGACCCCCGGCCGCGCGGGCCTTCGTCGCTCGGCTCTCGTCTGGCGAAGGGCGGGGCTGGTCGTCTGGTCCCCGGGCAGCGTCTGTCGGAGTGACCCGGAGATGCTGTCGCGGCTGCCGCGCCGTCGGCGCAGGCGGGGCTTTGCCAGATCAGGAGCCTGGCGACCACTCTACCTCCCGTGTTGACTCGAGGTTTTGAATGTGCTCTTTCGGTGTACTTTTGGGGAGAGTTAGGTACTCCTGGGGGTACTCCGGGGAACCCTGCGGGGGAATCGAACCCTGCGTTAGCCCCGTGCAAGGCAACGTGTAGGAAGCCAGAGGCTGGACCCTGCCATGTTCTTGTATTATCTTGGGCATAAATTCGTGCAAACACGTGGCCGAGCGTCCACTAGTTGCTGGGCAGCGTTAGGCGCTGGGGAAAGCGAATAGGCCTGTACAGGCTGGCTCTTGGTCTTTTGCGGGAAGTAGCTCGCTTTAGCTTTTTTTTTTTTTTTTTTTTTTTTTTTTGCTTTTTGGGTCACACCGGCCATGGGGTTCCTCCTGGCTCTGCACTCAGGAATCACCCCTGGCGGTGCTCAGGGGACCCTATGGGATGCTGGGAATCGAACCTGGGTTGACCGCATGCAAGGCAAACGCCCTACCTGCTGTGCTATTACTCCAGCCCTTGTTCTAGCTCTTTATCTGCCCCACAGTCTCCCCAGACCCCCTGTTTTGATTTGCTTTAATACAGAACTTCAAGGCTTTATCAAAAATGGGACATGTTCTGGGACCCGCGCGGTGCAGTGGACAGGGCCCGTGCCTTGGGCTCTGCTGACCTGAGTTTCCTCCCTGGCACCTCATGGTTCCCCCAGCACTGCCAGGAGTGATCCCTGAGTGCAGAGCCAGGAGTAGGTAGTCCCTGAGCATTGCCTGGTGTGGCCCCCAAAACAAGAAATAAGACTTTTTTTTAAAAAAGGGAAATTTTCACATGTATTGTTGGTTAATGATTAGATGCTGCCATTTCTATGCTAGACACTGATGGTGAAAGACCTTTTACATGACAAAAATAGAACACTAGTCGTAGTTCTGGTTCAGTTTTATTCGCTCAGATTCTAGAACAGAGCCCGCTGTTAATCACGGAACATTGATGTTTACAGATATTTAAAGACAAACTCCAGAGAACTAGATGGCGGCTTTGACATCAGCAGGTGTCTGAACAACTGGAAAGAGATGAACTTTTTCTTTTTCACTAAAGATGCCCCCACATGTCTTCGGAGAGGCCCCCTTCCAGATCTTGCTTCTCTCCTTACCTAGGGCACTAACCTCTATGATAATGGCTCCAGTCATCTCTGCAGTAGGGACTGTTATTTTTATTTTGTCACTGAGGAGACTGACCCAGAGAAAAGGGAGGTGACTTGTTCCTTAAAATAGTGGAAATGCCCACTTTGGCTTTCCCTACTCTATCTTGCTATACTGTTAGCTCCCTACATAGGTTGGTAATCAGTTGGGTGAAGGGGAACAGTCTGGTTCACTTTGGGATTGTGTAAACAGCTGAATGACGGGGCAGAGGGATGATGTTTTGAGATCCCCCTGAGCTCCATGAGATGAAGATTCTGGTTTTTTTTTTGTTGTTGTTGTTATTTTAAAAACTTTATTTAGAGGCTGGGGAGATAGCACAGCAGGTAGGTAGGGCATTTGCCTTGCACGCAGCCGATCCAGGTTCGATTCCATATGGTCCCCCAAGCACCTCCAGGAGTAATTCCTGAGTGCAAAACCAGGAGTAACCCCTGTGCATCGTCAGGTATGACCCAAAAAGCAAAAACAAAAACCAAAGAACTTTATTGTTTTGTTTTGTGTTTTTGGGCCATACTCAGCAGTGCTCAGGGGCTACTCCTAGCTCTGCACTTCAGGAATCACTCCTGGCAGTGCTTGGAGGACCTTATAGGATGCTGGGAATAGAACCTGGGTTGGCCACATGCTTAGGAAACGCCCTACCCATTGTACTGTTGCTCAGTGTCCAAATTTACTATTTTTTTTTGTGTGTGTGTAGGAGTATTGCTATTTATTCAGCCATTGATTAGGCTGATTGAATTGGGCATGAATTCCACCTTACTTTTTTCTTTCTTTTTTTATAAGTTTATTTATTGAATCACCGTGAGAGCAGTTACAAAGCTTTCGGGTTTAAGTCTTGGTCATACAGTGAAACACCTGTCCCTTCACCAGTGCCCATTTTCTACCACCAAAAACCCCACTATACCCCTCCATCCCACACCCTCCCCCTATCTGTGGGGCAGATGATTTCCATATTACTCTCTCTGTACTTTGATTACATTCAATATTTTGACACCAGATCCACTATTATTATTTGGGATTTTACCGCAACACTCAGATCTGCCAAAAAGGCAACAGTAGACAATTTGTTTTGTATTGCTGGTTATTTATAACATGTGATGTCGCATGGCTGCAATAGTGGCTGCGCGATTTTGGAATTCCGAAATGTTAACAATTAAATCTGGAGAGATTTCTGCCAAAACCTGCTGGGTTCCGAGATTTGTTCCTGAGTCTCTTGGATCATGGCCATTAAGCAGCTTGATCAGGAGCCAGAGAGACTGTTCATGGGCGGCGACTCGGGGTCTTGTTGGAGTGGGGAGGAAAGGGCCGGCTGCACCCCCGTCCCGTGAGGCCCCATGTGTCTTGTCACTGCTGGCCCAAACCTGACTGTCCCATAGCCTCTGGAGGATGGCGGCCACCGAGCTGCCAGGGGGAACAGGCCAAGGCATGAAATCTATTCCCACCTGGGGTGGCCAGGTGCCGGTAACCTACTGCAGGGACTGGACGCATTTCTGCCAAAAGCCGCTGGGTTTCGAGATTTGTTTCTGAGTCTCAGGGGTCATGGCTGTTAAGGAGTTCGATCAGGAACCAGAGAGGCCTTGCCTCCAGTTACATAGCTGAGGCAGAGGTGGTTTGTGGGTATGTCTCCTACATGTCTAACTTTTGACCGTTTACTCTCTTGGTAAATTTTGCCCCAAGTTTTTGGGGTTTAGCCAAAGGCACAGCAGCAATTTTGGGGTATCTGGAAGTCTGAAGGCACTATCAGGCTGCTGATGCACTCGCCTCACAGGTACAGATTGACCTGCTGGTGATACCATACTCCCTACTATTATTTTTAAAGCAAGATAGTTTTTATTTAAATTTAGACGTAAGGGGAGAGAAAGAGGAAATACATGTTCCTGAGTGGGAAAAGTAAGTAAAGAGACATAGAGACATAATTTGTGTGATCTTTGGCTAGTCATTTACTTTTTTGAGTTTCACTGTTTTCATCTACAAAAGACTCTTATCTGAAAGGTATTTTTTTAAGGATTAAAAATATAACCACAGAGTGCTTAGATTAAGGTACAGCACACAGGGCTGGAAAGATAGTACAGTGGGGAGGCATTTGTGTTGCACACAGCCCACCCAGGTTCAATCCTGGGCATCTTATATGGTTCGCCAAGCACCACCAGGAGTAATTCCTGAGTTTAGAGTCAGGAGAAACCCTGAGCATTGCCGGGTATGACCCAAAAAGCCAAAAAAAAAAAAAAAAAAAAAAGTTCAGCACACTGAAAAATCATTGGCATTAGCATTAGGAGTGGATTTATATAACAGACTGAGGAGTTTGGTTGGTGGAGTGATTGTACCTTTAAAGGAGATGGGGTGAAGGTGGGTCATTTTATACAGGCTGAGAAATGATACCCCGTCCCCACTCCTTTATTGTGTTTTGGTCTACATACCAAGTGTTGGTCAGGGACCTACTCCTGGGTTCTTGAGGTTCATGCCCAGTAGTGACTGGGGATCCCTGCAGGACACACGCATCCCAACTGCATTGTACTCAACTCTGGAAAAATCCCAAAAGCTTTCTTCTCTTCACTTGTAGATCTCTACTGTTTCCTCCTGCCTGTACTAAATAACCATGTCATCAGAATCGAGCAAGAAACGTAAGCCGAAGGTGATCCGAAGTGATGGAGCCCCAACGGAAGGGAAGCGAAACCGATCTGATGCCGAGCAGGTAACATCAGTCAGGGCTACTGGCTGTTGAGGAACTATAGCTGTGGCCAAGTCCCTGAACAGAATGTATTCTATTATGCTGTCTGTCTCTCTTCTCTCTCTTTCTCCTCTCTCTCTCTCTTTCTTTCTTTCTTTCTTTCTTTCGTTCGTTTTGGACCACACCCACAATGCTCAGGGCTTATTTCTGGCTCTGCACTCAGAAATCACTTCTAGCAGTGCTCAGGGAACCATATGGGATATTGGGGATTGAACCTGGTCGGCTGTGTGCAAAACAAGTTCCCTGTCTGCTGTAAACTATCTCTCTGGTCCTGTCTCCCGTTTTCCTGATGGTCAGAAGAGGGCGGTGCATTTGTGACATGCTGCTGACTCTTTGGAGATTTGGCAGTGCTGGTCTGCGACAGATGGTGCCAGAACTATGTGACTACATGTAAAATCTTATCACGCCGAAGGTTGTGTGTTCACGGGCTCACTGGATGGCACCGTCTCACCGCCTGCGTTCGGTGCTCTTGAGCCGCTGTGTGTGGCCTGGATCGGAACGGCTGTTGGCCAAGGGCAGACGGAAGAAGAAACGAGGGCCAGGCCGGTCTATATCAATAGTAGTTTATTCCAATCCTCTTAACTCCTGTCTTTCTCTGCCTCCTTCTCTCATGGGCCCCAATCTTGGAACCTCTCTCCTGGCTCTGACTCTGGATCTCTGGAGCCTGTGCTCTCTCGCTTCTCCCCCTCTTTCCGAGCTTACGTCTTAGTTTATATAGCAGTCACATAAGGCGGTGACATAAAGGTGGGTTGAATACTGATGAATCAACAAAGAGAGGTAAGACCACTCCTCCAGGAGATTAACTCAAGGATAAAATCTCATCTACAGAGATTACTTCAGATTACTAGGAGATCCACCCAAGGGTGGGATCCCAACAAGGGTGTGTTCTTCCCTCAGTTAGTAATCTACTTAAATAGTTGTAATAAATCTACTTCTAATATTTCTAGCAATGTCATTCTGTATGAGCACAGTAAGAGATATAAATTTAGTTTGGTTCTTCCTGAGAACATCTCACTATACATTTCGCAGTCCTCAGGCCAGGTTAATCTTCCTAGCTCCAGCAGGGTCCTAGTCTCGTCATTACTTACTTTTGGATCATGACAGTATTTGTCCATGATCATGCCCTCAACTTATAGTTGAGTATCGTGGCTCTTTGGCCTGGCCCATTTCGATGCCAGGGTAGCTCACTGTTTGCCCTGGGTCCATTCAGTCCCTTGTCGGGACCCTGCTTTTGGGGTGGTAGGAACTAAGGGCAACTGAGTCAAGAAATCAGATGCCCAGGAGTAAATATTATTCGGAGTCAATCAACTCCCAAGTTACAAAGCATAATATTAAGTGTCTTCCTGTGTCCACACAGAAAGGACATTGCTTACAATACAAGTTCAGTGTTCTTAGATGGGTGTGACCTGACAAACCTAAGCTACCTGAGGAAGGACAAAAGAGTGTTATCCTACAACTACAGAACCTCTTCGGTGGCCTGAGAGATCAAGTGGCTCTGAAGTTCTCCTTTCGCTGTCTTTTTAGGGTTGGTTTTGTTGTTTCGAACATATCCTGACAGTGCTCAGCCCCTCAGCAGGGAATCCAAATGGGGTCAACCGGGTACATGGCACTTGTCTTCTCTCCTGTATTGCAGCTCTCCAGCCCCCTTGCTGATTCTTTGAACTTCTATTTTTGAAGTGTTTGTTTTTGTTTTGGGGCCATACCTGGTAGTACTCAGGGGTTAGTTTTGGCTCTGCACTCAGAAGTTACTCGTGGCCGACTTGAGGGACCATATCTGGTGCTGGGAAATCGAATCCAGGTCGATCTCATACAAAGCAAGTGCCCTACCTGCTATAGTATTGTTCTGGCCCCTGTTAGCTAATTTATCACAAATGTTTATTTGGCTTTGGGACCACATCCTACTATGTTCAGGGATCATTCCTGGCGGGCCTTAGAGGACCATGTGATGTCCATATGCAATGCTGGGGATCGAACCTGAGTTAGCTGCATGTAAGGCATGTAAGGTACCCTACCCACTGTACTATCACTTCATCCCAAACTTATCCTCTTTAATTTAAATTTAAAGTAATGCATTGATGCTGAGTCTCTCTTCAAGAGATATTCTGGACTGGAAAGGTGTCTCAGAATGCTGGAGTTCATGTTTTATTTGCAGGAGGCCTGAGTACTCCATGTCTCTTGAGCACCATGCTGGAAGTACTCTCTGGGCACTGCTAGGTTTGTCTAAAAAAATAAAAAAGGAAAGAGATGAATTCTGTTTACTTCAAAAGTTTGGAGCCTGTTATGGTTCTGTATTTGCTCCCGAAAACTTGACCAGCAGTAGGAATTAGCTTAGGTGAATTCTAGTTCTTGTGCAACCAGTTTGGTGGCGATCTTTATTTCCTGGAATGAGAAATTGTACTAAGCAGCATGATCTTATTTTGCTTAAAGATAAAATTTGGGGACTAGAGAGAGAACTCAAAGGCTGGAGCACATGCACTGCAGGCGGGAAGTCCAGTTTCTTCCACGGCAGTATATGGTTGCTTGAGTATCACTGGGAGAAGCCCCAAGCACTGAGCTAGGAGTCACTCCTGAGCATTGCCAGGTGTTGCCCTCCCCCAGAAAGAAAAATGTTCTTAATTTTACATTTAGCCACAGTTGGAACTGTATTGTTCGTAATGTCATCTTCGTGTCCCTGGTGTAGACAAACTCTCTCCCCTAACCAAGGTTGTTTCCCTTGCTTCCGCAGGAGGGCAAATACTACAGTGAGGAGGCTGAAGTGGACCTGCGGGACCCTGGCAGAGACTATGAACTGTACAAGTACACGTGCCAGGAGCTGCAGAGGCTCATGGCTGAAATCCAGGACCTGAAAAGCCGGGGAGGCAAGGATATGGTAAGGATGGATGAACGTGTGTGGTAGGTGCACGTGGATGGGGCTGTTTTCCCACTTAGCAGAGCCTGTCCTGATTCTGTCTTCTGTCCCAGACATGACGAGGTAGATGGAGTCTGAGGGCTTCCAAGACCTGTCTGTGTAATGGAGTAGTTCTTCAGCTCCCTGTCATCAATTACTGTAATCAAAGTAGAAGACAATTTTTCTGTATCTGCAGTTTGGTCATTTGTCTTGTGAATATTTATTTAGTGCTAGGCATTTTGTCAGGTGTTGAGAAATATTGAGGAATGTAAATTCCTTTGCTGTCATAAGGGTGGAGATGTACAGAAGTAAATCAGAGAGATAAAAGTAAGGTTAGCAATATTAAGTGACAAGACAGGTATTAGGTTGGAGAAAATAAACAATATGACTAAAAGGTAGGTCACGGTCACGGTCCTCCCGTTGTTCATCGATTTGCTCGAGCGGGCCCAGTAACGTCTCCATCGTGAGACTTGTTGTTACTGTGTTTGGCATATCGAATACATCACGGGTAGCTGGCCAGGCTCTGCTGTGCGAGCGAGATACTCTCGGTAGCTTGCCGGGCTCTCCGAGGGGCGGAGGAATCGAACTCGGGTCAGCCATGTTGGCTGCATGCAAGGCAAACGCCTTACCGCTATGCTATCGCTCCAGCCATCGCTTCTTGGCCTTTTGGCTAAGATCAAGTGTAGACTAAAAGGTAGAGAAAGAATTTTTTTGGGGGGCCACCATGATGTCACACTGAGCAGGTGCGGGTCAAATTATGAGGACACTGGCAATATTGGTGTGCACGTGGCCCATCAGCAAGAAACAAGTTTCATTTTTTTAAGAGTCGCTCTACTTCTAAGTATCATCCTCTCAGTTTTACCATAGTGAAGCTTTGCATTTATAGTTCTGCTATTTTTTATTTTAAAACATGTTTTTTGGTTTGTTTGGTTTTGATTTTTGGGCCACAGCCAGTGGTGCTCAGGGGATATTCCTAGCTCTGCACTCAGGAATTACTTCTGGCAGGCGTCAGAGGACCATATGGGGTGCTGGGGATCTAACCTCTGGATGAGGATGAGTCAACCGTGAAGGGTGGAGAATCCAGACAAGAGTATCTATGGTATTTTGGTCTTTACCAGTTTCTTTGCTCGCAGGCAGTTGAGATTGAAGATCGGAGGATCCAGAGTTGTGTGCACTTCATGACTCTAAAGAAACTTAACCGATTAGCCCACATCCGGTTGAAGAAAGGAAGAGATCAAACCCATGAGGTAGGAGTTGGAGCTTTCCTCTCCCTCCTCCCCATCCCTCTTTTATTCCCTGTACCTCTTGAGTTGGCTCCTGTTCTGCTTTATCCCATTGAGCCTGTCCAGCTCACCTGTGACTTTCTCCTCCGTTTAGGCCAAGCAGAAGGTAGACGCGTACCACCTGCAGCTCCAGAACCTATTGTATGAGGTGATGCACCTGCAGAAGGAGATCACCAAGTGTCTGGAGTTTAAGTAAGTTTGGATGGTCAGGGCTTTAGCGGGTCTTTGGTTTTCTTCTTTTCCTTCGTAGTGTTGGCTATTCTCTTTAGGAAAAAACCGATGAGCTTGGAGCCCGCATTATTTGCAGAAGGGTGAATGTATCATCCTGACTGGGAGAATTAGAAGCAATAATTTCAGCTGCACAAGGAACTGCAGGCGCTCCTCTGGGCCTGTTGAGTTTTGAGCTCTGTACCTGGTCAAGAGCAGTTGTTTCGGTCCAGGGATGTGCTCAGTGAGGAGCACGTGCCTTGTGTGAGACCCTGTGTTAAATCCCTGGCAGTGGAGTTAAAAAAATAATTAAAGAAGGCAGTTGCCTTTCCCTAGCCGGGACTTTTACAGTAGTTGGAATTCCTGGATACCTGGTATAGTAGCAGATCATTTCCACACATCTCCGCTGTCCTCTATCAAGGTCCAGCAGATTTTTTTTTTAAATAATGTAGGAGTACTGCTATTTATTCAGCCATTGATTAAGCTGATTGAATTGGGCATGAACTCCACATTACTTTTTTATTTTATTGTATCACCGTGAGATAGAGTTACAAAGCTTTCATGTTTGAGATTCAGCCGTACAATGATGAAATACCCATCCCTCGATCAGTGCACATTTTCCACCACCAATGCCCCAAGTATCACCCCCCACCCCTCACATACATACACATCGCAGTCCTCACCCTGCCTCTATGGTAGACAATTTCCCCAATACTCTTTCTGATTTTGGGGCATTAATTTTGTTCTAATTTTCCTACCACCATTCAAACCTACCTGTCAGGAGCAGACACTAGATAATATATTTTTCATAGCTCATTTTGAATATCACGAGAGCTCACGTGGGTGCGATTGTAAATGTAAATTTCTAGATTATAAATGGTCGGGTTCCAGAGACATTCTGTATAGCACTAATCCATTTTGAGATTCATTTTGGAGCCTCTGGACCAGGGCTGTTGGTGTGCTAAGATGGCATCTGGAGGCAAATTGTGGGCGTGACAGCCAGTCTTCTGGGCATCTGGTGACCTGGGGAGGGACAGCCCAGGTCCTCTGCCAACATGCGGCCTGAAGATGTAGTCCTGGAACTCACATACTTGCTTGTGGAAGCTCTTAGTCACTGGGATTCCATCTGGAGTAGGAGGGGAGACTGCATCTGCTCCATCTGGGGTGCCCTGGTGATATTGGCTCGGTATGGGGCCCGGAGAGATCCCGGCACTGTGGTGTCATCTGGGACTTGCTACTGTGTCTCTGTGCCAGGGCTGTTGGTGTGCTTAGATTCACATTACAAAATTTTCAGCAGATTATATCTTGGTGAGGTCCATCCTGAAACGGTGGAGTCAGGCTTGGGGTATGGCGGCTATTTTGGATTGTGGTAGCAAGAGGCTTCCGGGGACTCTGCTTGGACGGGCACAGGCCAACCCGCCCCCTCCAGTTTACTCCGGACTGTTCAGCCATATATGGGTCTGAGCTTAACTGCGGCTTTTGATCTCTTTCGAGATTTATTTAGGGGTCTCTGAGGCAAAACCAATAGTAGAGCTTACAGGGTGGCGCTGGAATTGGTTCATGGGGGTGACTGCTAATTCTTCCATGGGTATCGGGAAGTGGGGGAGGTAGCCCATCCCAACTTTCAATGAGCTTGTATAGCTGAGCCAGAGGTGGTTTGGTGGTGTGACTCCCAAATGCCTAACTTTTGGCCATTTAATTTTTTTTTTTTTTTTTTGCTCCTTGGGTCACACCCGGCGATGCACAGAGGTTGCTCCTGGCTCTGCACTTAGGAATCACCCCTGTCAGTACTCAGGGGACCATATGGGATGCTGGGAATTGAACCCGGGTCGGCTGCGTGCAAGGCAAACCCCCTACCCGCTGTGCTATTGTTCCAACCCCTGGCCATTTAATTTCTTGGTAAACTTGTTGTCCCAAGTTGTTGGGGTCTGGCCAAAGGCACAGCGGCAATTTTGGGGTATCAGGAAGCCTGAAGGCAACATCAGGCTGCTGATGCACTAGCCCTGCAGGTACAGGTTGACCGGTTGGCGGCACCATACCCCCTTGTTGTTGGGTTTTTAGGAATTTTTTTTTCCTTAGGGGCTTCTCCTGACTCTGTGCTCAGGGGACATTTCTGATGTTGCTCAGGGGAACCAATGCTAGGAGTCAAAGCCGTATAGCCACTTGCAAGGCAAGCACCATAATCTCTGAGCTCTGTTTCTGGTCCTCCTGGAGTTCATTTTTGCAAGTGAATATTCTTTGAAACTTAAACTTACTAACTTCGCTGTCTATAGTTTGTTAGTATTTTTCTTAAATACCTTTAAGGTATTTTCTTAAATCCTCACAGCAAAACCAAGCTGAGAGATGAGAAGGTAAACAATAGATAAGAAAAGTATTCTTGCTACTTGTGGAAACTGAAAGGCAAATTTTACTATATTCTTTTATCTTGATTGGGGGTGGTATACCTGGCTATGCTCAGGACTTACTCCTGGATGATCTGTGCTCAGGGATTAGACCTGGGTCTGCTGCGTGCAAGGCAAGCCCCTGCCCCCTGTACTATCACTCAGGCCCCAATTTTACTGTAATAAAATATTACATGTAAAAGGGGCTGGAGAGATAGCACAGCGGATAGGGCGTTTGCCTTGCACGCGGCCGACCCAGGTTCGATTCCCAGCATCCCATATGGTCCCCTGAGCACTGCTAGGAGTAACTCCTGAGTGCAGACCCAGGAGTAACCCCTGTGCATCGCCAGGTGGGACCCAAAAAGCCAAATATATATATATATATATATTACATGTAATGATCATTATATTTGAGGGGGATGTCACACCCAGGAGTGCTCAGGAGTTACCCCTGGCTCTGCACTCAGGAATCACTCCTGGCGGAATTTGGGGGACCCATACGGGGTGCTGGGGATTGAAGGTAGATTAGCTGTGTGTAAGGCAAACACTTGAGCTAATGCTTTTGTACTAGGGTAAGTTTCCTGATTTTACACAGCACCTGAACGACATACTTTTTTCTTTGTTTTTTCTTGTTTTGTTTAGTTTTGGGGTCACACCCCATGGTGTTCAGGGGCTAGTCTCAACTTTGTACTCAGGATTGACAGTGCTCAGGGGAGCACAGCATAGAATGCTCAGGGGAGCACACCATGAACCTTTTGCATGCAGAGCATGCATTCAGTTCATTGAGCCATTTCTCCAGCCCAAGATGAGATACTGTTTTAGGGGACTCAGAAGATGGAGGTTGTGGTGCTCCTGCACATCTTGGTGGTTTTGCTTGTGGGAGGTCACTGCTACTGTCATCAGGCTCATGTTCCTGCTGGGGTGCGGCACAGTTTTAGTTGCAGTTCACCTGGCTTTGCACTGGAAATTGCACACCTGCTTGCAGTGCTAGGGGTTCCCAGAGAAGTGATCTGCAAGAACTCTGCGCAGGGCACTTGGTAGCACTGGGAATTGAATTTGAGGCCTCGTGCTTTCAAGGCAGGCAGGCATTGTTGCCACTGGCTGTGCTCTGGGGGCCATTTGGGATGCTGGAGATTGAACCCGGTCAGCTGAGTAAAGGCAAATGCCCTATCCCTGTACTGTTGCTCTGGCCCCTACCCCATTAATATTTTAAATTTAAGTATAAACTCACGTTTATTCCTGTTAAATGACTTTTTTTTTTTAAATATTTCAGCCCGACAGTGTAGTCCTTGACTATAGTTTTTTTTATTTGATTTTTAAATTTCTGTGATACCCAGCAGTGCTCAGGGCCTACTCCTGTCTCAAACTCGGGTGCTCCTGGAAATGCTTTGAGGACCATGCGCTGCCAGGGATTGAACTCAGGGCTCCTGCATGCAAAGCCTGTGCTCCAACCATTGAGCTATTTTCTAGCCTTAGATTGTGTTATTGTAATTTGACACATACTTCATAGTTTGCCTTTGTTCTTTTTTGATTGTTTTTTGTTTGGGGGCCACACCCAGTGGTACTCAGAGCTTACTCCTCACTCTTTGTTCAGGGATCATCCAGATGGGGCTTAGGGAACCATATGTGATGCCAGAGATAAAAACCAGGTCGGCCACGTGCCAGGCAAACACCCTACCCATTGTACTGTCACTCTAGCCCCACTTTATAGTTTTCTTGATCAGCTTGGGGATATTACTTTAGCTTCCCTCCAGGTCTTTAATTCATAGGTGAAAAGATTGGACAACATGAGTAAGGATGTTGCCTAGTACATCACTTTACACTGAAGCATCTATTGAATATTTGCGGGAAAGAGGGGGTGGCAGGTTCCTGGGTAATTGCAGACCAGGGTTCAATAGGTATACATGGGAGGGAACAGTGGGCCTGGTAAGCCTTAGTTTGGACTCCTCGCGATGACAACTTGACACTTTGTGTTTCCCCACAGATCAAAGCATGAAGAAATTGATCTGGTCAGCATAGAGGAATTTTATATGGAGGCTCCCCCAGAGATTAGCAATGCTGAAGTCACCATGGGAGACCCTCACCAACAAACCCTGGCCCGTCTGGACTGGGAGTTAGAGCAGCGGAAAAGGTAACTCTCTCAGCCTGCTTGTGCCTGCTAGTTCTTTGTGGTGCTCAGAGGCTGCGTGGTGGGGCGGGGTGCCCACGGTGCTAAGGACTGAATCCAGAGCCTTAAGCACTCTAGACACGTGCGATGCCATTGGAGCTATGTCTCTGGCTTCCTTCCTGACCTTTTCTGAGGTGGGGGATAGGAGGTGTATTCTGGACAGTGCATGGCGTCCATGTACTGGGAATCAAACTCAGGGCTCCCATATGTTTTACTACAGCCCTTTGAGCTAGCTCCCTGGACCCTTTCCCAATCTGATTAACCTGTGCAGACATGTACAGGTTAATAAGACAGCAAAGGCCTGTGAAACTCATGGAATAGGCTAAGACCAAATCCCTTTTTGTGATGAATTCACATTTGGTACTTAGTCAAACCAGTTTATGGGTGGGATTGGAATGACTTAAGGTTGTTAACCGAAAATTGGAGTGGATTTAAAAAATAAAAATGTAACTCCTGGATTAGGAGTGAGAGTCCAGGCGTTAAGGCATTTGCCTTGCATGCTCACCTCTGTGGTTGAGTCCCCAACACTCCATGGGCCCCCACGCACTGTTGGGAGTGATCCCAGAAGAAAGAGTTGGGAGTCTTTCCTGAGCAGTGCCAGGTGTTGCCCCAAAACAAACTAAATCTCAAATAAAAAATTAACACCTGATGCTGGTAAGTAATGGTTTTTGTTAAAAAATTGTTTTCCATGTACCCTGCCACATACACACACGCACGCGCGTGCATTAACACCTAAGATCTAAATACATTTCTTTATTTTTTTGCATTTTGGGTCACACCTGGCGATGCACAGGGGTTACTCCTGGCTCTGCACTCAGGAATTACATCTGGCAGTGCTCAGGGGACCATATGGGATGCTGGAAATTGAACTCAGATTGGCTGCGTGCAAGGCAAAAACCTACCAACTGTGCCATTGGTCCAGCCCCCTAAATACATTTCTTTCTGTAAATTTCTTTTGGCCCTTTTTCTACTGCCTGTCAGCAAATACTTACAGTATTATAAAGTCTCATGAATGTTTCAGAAGGTTGTGTATATCCCTTCTTATAAAGGATTTGCGGGGCTGGCAAGATTGCTCAATGGGCTGAGCTCAGACTTTAATGTGAGAGAGCTGGATTCAGTTCCTGGCACCACATGGTCCCTCAGACGTCAGAGGGAACACCCCAAGGACTGTATCAGGAGTAACCACTAAACATAGCTAAGTATGCCCCCTCCCCGCAAATAAGTTTAATTCATGTAATTTTTTTTTGTTTGCATTTTATGCCAAACCTGTACCAAAAGTATGGAGCTTTTCTATACTATTATAAAGCTTTTATAATATATAATTTTTAAATATAATAAAAGTCACTGTCCTCTCATTGTTCATCGATTTGCTCGAGCGGGCCCAGTAACGTCTCCATTGTGACAATTGTTACTGTGTTTGGCATATCGAATACATCACGGGTAACTTGCCAGGCTCTGCCGTGCGGGCGAGATACTCTCGGTAGCTTGCCGGGCTCTCCGAGAGGGGCGGAGGAATCGAACTCGGGTCGGCCATGTTGGCTGCGTGCAAGGCAAACGCCCTACCTGCTGTGCTATCGCTCCAGCCCATAATAAAAGTATGGTATCATTTAGTATATAGTATTGCTACTATAAATATAACATACTATATAACAATAATATATCACTTGATCACTTGACATCCCGTTACTCATCAGTTTGCTCGAGCGGGCACTAGTAATATTTCCATTTGTCCCTGTTGCGTGCTAGTGTAGCCCAATGGTGTCTGCTCACTCCAGGAAACAATGCGAAGGCGATTAGAGGCTGCCCTATAAGCCTATCTCTCGGAGAGCCCAGCAAGCTACCGAGAGTATCCCACCCACACGGCAGAGCCTGGCAAGCTATCTGTGGTATATTTGATATGCCAAAAACAGTAAAAACAATGGGTCTCATTCCCCTAACCATGAAAGAGTCCCCAATACGGCAGTAAAAACAATAATATATGATACTATATACACATAATATATAAATATAATAAAAGTATAATAGTATCATTTACTCTAGGTTTTTCTAAGACTAATGTCATTTTTTCATACTGGAATCATGATTATGCAGTCATATCATGATTGCATCTATTTTTTAGGACTAGAATGGTCTTGAGATGACATTTAGATTAGGGTTAGAGTTACAAATTTTTCTATTGTTGCTTTGCTTTGGGGGGCCTTTTTCCCAGCAGTATGAGGGCCACCAGGGCCTGTACCTGGTGGTGCTAGGGAGGAGTGAGGTGATGGGGATGGAACCCAGGTCTTTGTGCTTGTCAGGCCTGTTCCCCAGTCATTTGTGCTTTCACTTTGGCACTTTTATATTTTTCCTTTTGAAAAGTGTTTGAGGATAAATAAATGTCCTATATATCAAATATCAAGAAATATTCATTACTGATTATGAGAGGCTGTAAAACAGAGGGAACTCTCATGTATAGTAGTAATAATTCCATTCAGTATTAAAACTAGTAATGCTTTACTTACAGAACAATAGAATTCATCAAAAAAGGCTGTAACTTTCACCAATCTATAATGTCACAATTGAAAATAGTTTTTAAATCATCATATGAATAGACCCAAATATATCATCTTTGTCTTAACAATTTATCAGATCAGTGTTTTTTGTTTTTTTGTTTTTTTAAGATTTTTATGGTGTGTTTGGTTTGGGGTGGGGGGTTGCGGGGGTGGGGGAGGCACATCCAGTGGTGCTCAGGGTTTGCTCCTGGCTCTGTGCTCTGGTATCACTCCTGGCAGGCTCTGGGGACCATATAAGGTGCCAGGAATCGAACCCAGGTTGTCCAAATGCAAGGCAAGCACCTTACTTGCTGAATTATTATTGTGGCCCCTGCTGTCATTTTTTAGCATGTAGTATTTTAGCGCCTGGGGCTGTCCTGTGATGCCCTGTTCAGTATGCTGCTTGTCCTATGAAATGGGCTAACTTGGTGACTACTGCGCTCCTATGACTCTAGCCAGAACCCGATTCTACACTGTTCCACACAGGCTGTCCGTGGGTCTTGTTTGGGTCAGTACCTAGAAGTCCCCATGTTAGGTTTTCAGTCTAGCATCTGAGGCCAGAATTGGAGTAGTTATTAGTGGGGTGTGGTATTGATGACACCTAGTGGTCACAGACAGGGAGTTTCTGTGTAGTCAGGCATGGATTCAGATGCCACCTGTGTGACCTTGGGCAAGTTACCTACTTCCCTGAACCCTCATCTCCTTCAGCGATAAGAAAAGTCTATCTTCAGAGACTGAATTAATAGTACAGTGGGTAGGGCGCTTTCCTTGCATGCAGCCAATCCAGGTTTTATCCCTGGCATCCCACATGGTTCCCAGAGCCCCTGCAGGAGTGATTGCAGAGCACAGAGCCAACAGTAACCCTTGAGCACTGCATGTGTGACTCTGAAAGCCAAAAAGTCAAAGAATAAGAACAGTCTGTCTTCTAGGGTATTTATAAAGATTAAATGATAAGATGCTTGCCAAGTGTCTCCCCAGTGTGTGATGCAGAGTAAGCGCTAGGTAACCACAAGCAGGCCTGGTCTGCTGAGCTGCATCTGGTGATGGTGTTTGTCCTTCTCCCGCAGGCTGGCAGAGAAGTACCGAGAGTCCCTCTCCAACAAGGAGAAGATCCTCAAGGAGATTGAGGTAAAGAAGGAGTATCTGAGCAGCCTCCAGCCCCGTCTCAACAGCATCATGCAGGTGAAGGCCCCTTTCTTGCTTTGCTCTTACCGTCCACTGAGACTTGGCTGACCGGAGATGGCAAATGGGCCCGTCTCTCTTTAAGTTTGTCTTTCCCATAATCATTGTGAGAGCACATTGTAATAATGGCTCTACCCAGCTGGTTTGATAAAGGGATGGTGGGGGTGGAAGAACCACTAGCATCCCCACATGTTGAATTGGTGCTGTAAACATTTTCCTTTCTTCTTTGTTTTGGGGCCACACCTGGTTGTGCTCAGGGCTTATTCCTGGCTCTGCGCTCAGGGATCACTCCTGGCAGGCTCGGGGGACTGTATTCGGTGCCAGGGATTGAACGTGGGTCTCCTGTCTACAAGGCTCGCATCCTACCTGCTGTACTAACTCTCCGGACTGTTCTTTTCTTTTTTGACCTTACCTAGTAGTGCTTAGGAGCTACTCCCAGCATGGTGCTCAGGGAATGATGAGTTTCAAATAATCAAACCGGAGCCTCCAGCATGCAACACCCTAAATGTTTTTTTTACTCAAAGCTTCTTGTTGGTGAAACACTTGCGTGTTCGTCACAGCACCTCAGACAGTCATGTCTACTCCCTTTGATAAGAACTCATTAGGTACCTAAGGTACCTAGGTAAGAAAGTAATTAGGTAATCTAGGAGGGTAGATCCCCCATGTTATTTTTATTATTTATTTATTTATTTTTGCTTTTTGGCTCACACCCAGTGATACTCAGGGGTTGCTCCCCACTCTGCACGCAGGAATTACTCCCTGGCAGTGCTTGGAGGACCATGTGGGATGCTGGGGATCAAACCCGGTCGGCCGCGTGCAAGGCTAACACCCTACCCACTGTACTATAGCTCCAGCCCCCCCCATGTTATTTTATTTATTTATTTATTTATTGGTATAGATGACCTGTTTTGTTGTTTATTTGCTTTGTAGAGTCAGGTTTTATCTGAATATTTATACTTCTTTAAATAAGGGTAAATGATGGTTCTGGAAAAACACTATGGCAAGACCTTAGAGAAATTATCAATTAACTTCTGTAGGATTTCACCAAGTCTGCATTTTTTTTTCTCTTTCACCCTAGGTGTGGAATTAGGAGTGTTAACGTTAATTCTCCAGTAGCATAGATGAAATTTAGAATGAGTTTGCACTGACGTCAGTAGATCATTTTTCCTGTTTTGTTTTGTGGTGTCCAGTGGTGCTCAGTAGACTGCGCTGTGTCAGGGATGGAACTCAGGGATCCTACATGCAGAGTGTGTACTTGAGCCTTTTGAGCTCTCTCTCTGGCCCCTGTGATCATATCACTTTTATAGAAAATTGATGCCAAGACAATACTGTTGTCCAGGCCATCAATATGGCATGCAGTTTCATTCATTTAGGTCTTTGATTTCTTACATGTTTGTGTAGAGGCTTATGTACTTTTATTCTTCTGGTTTTGTTTTTGCTTTTGTTTGGGGTCCACACTGAGTGGTGCACACTTGGTACCTGGGGGTCCATGTAATGCCAGGGATTGAACCCAGGCTCCAGCATGAAAAGTGTGTGTGCTAGCTCTTGAGCTATCTTCCTGCCAGTTTTTTTTTTTTTTTTTTTTGCTTATTGGGTCACAGGGCTGGAGTGATAGCACCGCTGGTAGGGCGTTTGCCTTGCACGCAGCCAATATGGCCGACCCAAGTTCGATTCCTCCGCCCCTCTTGGAGAGCCCGGCAAGCTACCGAGAGTATCTCGCCTGCACGGCAAAGCCTGGCAAGCTGCCCATGGCATATCCGCTATGTCAAACACAGTAACAAGTCTCACAATGTTATTGAGCCTTCTTGAGCAAATCGATGAACAATGGGAGGACAGTGACAGTGACAGTGATTAGATCACAGCTGGCAGTACTCAGGGGTTACTCCTGGGCACTCAGGAATTACTCCTGGTGGTGCCCAGGGGACTGTATGGGATGCCAGGGATTGAACCCTGTTCGGCCTTGTACAAGGCAAATGCCCTCCCTGCCGTACTATTGCTCAAGCCCCCACCCCTGATTTTTATATTCTTAAATACTTAGTGGTTTTTTGATGTAGTTGGAAATAGTATTTCTGACTTTTGATAGGGGCCCCTCCCAAACAATGCTCAAGGGAGCCTGGGCTATAACACTTTCTTGCAATAACACTTTCCGAGCCATGCTGGACTGTTCAGGTACAGTGGTGTTGGGTGCCACCAGGACCATACCTCGCAGTGCCAGTTACTAAATTCAGGTTCCTGCATATACAAAGCATGTATCCTGATAACTGAGCTTTCTCCCTGACTCCCAAACTATCTGGTATCTTCTTTGTTTGGGTGCCATACCTGGTTCTGCACTCATGGGAGTGTGGTGCCAGGAATTGAAGGAACTCAGGGCCTCACAATGTAAAAAGTTGCTCTACCACTGAGCCCCAACTCTAAGATATCTTTTGATTATTTTATTTTTTAATTGTTTTGGTTTTGGGGCCACTCCCGGTGGTGCTGAGGGGTTACTCCTGGCTCTGCACTCAGGAATTATTGGCATTACTCAGGGGACCATAAGGGATGCGAGGGATTGAACCCAGGTCGACCACATATAAGGCAAACATCCTACCAACTGTACTATCATTCTGGCTCCTATTTCTCATGTGAGGTAAAATAGTTTTATTTATAGAAATATGAAGAGAGAAAGAGAAAAAGTTTACATCTCAGGTTGAGATGCAGATGAATATCTAAGAGAAATTGTATGGTATCTTTTTTCAAGATCTGTTTTTTGCTGGTAAAAGAAAATGATCCTTATTATTGACTTTCATATTTTGTGGGTTTTGTTAATTTTTTTTTGTTTGTTTTTTGGTTTTGCATCACACCCAGCAGTGCTCAGGACTTACTCCTGGCTCTGTGCTCAGGGAACACTCCAAGCAGGACTCCAAGGACCATATGGGACCTATCCATGTTGGCTGCATGCAAGGCAGGCACTCTGTCCACTGTATTATTTCTCTGGCTCCCTATCAATTCTTTTAGCTTATCACATACCACTTTCATAAATAAAAAACTGATAATAAACAGCTGCATAGTGGAGCAGGGGGTGGGTGGGATGGGAGGCCGGGAAACAACGACAGAAAATCCCTAACAAACAAAAAAGCAGCCGCATATTACTACATACATTCTTTCAAGAAGAAAAGTAAAAATTTCTTGTTGCATGCAGGCATCCCTCCCAGTGCAGGAGTACTTGTTCATGCCATTTGACCAGGCTCACAAGCAGTATGAAACAGCCAGACACCTGCCGCCTCCCCTCTACGTCCTCTTTGTCCAGGCCACTGCCTATGGGCAGGCTTGTGGTGAGTACCGGGACTGGGTGAGAAGCTGTGAGCAGCTGTGGCTGAGTCATTGGGAAGCACTTTCTGCTGAGGACCGTTCCCTGGTCATGCCCAGACCTCCCCAGGTGATAGGTGTTGCCTCCCCTTTGCACGGCCCAGCATGGCTGCCTGGACCAGCAGACCCGTGGCTGGACTAACCTGGTACACTTTTCTGAATGGATGGCTTTGAGTCTTTGATGGACCTTGCCGGTGAGCTGTTGCATGCAGCGCCCAGGCGGCCTGCATGCGCTCCCAGGTGCTCACCCCATTAGGCACGCTTGGCAGGTGCATTTCTTGATGCTTCAGAGTAGCTTGAACACAGGCCCAGCCAGCTTTCTCAGGCTCTTGCCGTGCTCCTAGACCGGGGGAGGGGGCTGCATGTGGTTACCACGTGTTATTGAGGGAGAGGGTAGTGTTTCCTTGTGCTTAAAGATAGCCCACCCTGCGTTTCCAGAAGGTTGTTGAGTTGTTTTGGAGGCCTTATCTGACCCTACTCAGCTTTCACTTAATACCTGAACTTTCCTTCCCACCCCACTGCATCAGACATACTGCTTCAAGGCAGGCCTCTCTTCTCAGCCACGGGCACCGACACATCACTCTCTCTTCTTGTGTTTTCCTGTCTTTCTGCCTCTCTCCCTTCACTCTGTTGTCCCTCCTGTTTTCCATCATCAGCTCATATGAAATCCTCTCAGCCCTCTAGACAGGGTGAGTAATTTTCTTTTCTTTTGCATCTAAAAGCCCGCCTATACCTTTTCCTATCTTACTATAGAATTCTAAGGTTAAACTATTCAAAAGAACAGCCTGGCACTGGCCAGTTGGTTGATGGGAGTGGGCAACTTATTTGGGGTGACAGCTCATGTCAGCTTTGGGGTATGAGAGACAGTGCAGTGGTTGGCCTCCTGCGACTACTAACTCAGTGGCCTGGGAGAAGTTTGGTGTAGTTGAGGGTAAGTGTTTGAGGCTCCTGTGTCTGTCTATACCCTTGTGAACGGAGCACTTAGAGTAGACCTGTCTGGAGTCCTGGCTTATCTACTTCCTTTGTATTGTCTCTTTACTTCTCTCAGCCTCAGTTTATCTTTTTCATTTGTAAGTAGCGAGTAATGATAGCATCGTGCCTTTGGATTCTTATAAAGATAAAGGATTAGTTTTTAAACATAAAAGTTTTATGATTGAAATTTGAAGGGTTGGCTCGTTTGGACCTCACCACCCCGCTGGAAAGTTCCTTGTCAACTTCCGATTTTATAGATGTGGAAACTTAAGACTCTGAACAGTGCTGTAGCTTGCAGGTTCATGTGTGGAATTATTTGGGCAGGGACTCAGGCCTGGGACTGGACGACAGGGTCCAAGTCCCTACCCACTGTCCTCCCTCCCAATTAAATTTGATGGCGCCGGCCAGATTCTTGGTAAAGAAGTAAGAAGAAGCATTTAGGTGGATGTAGGTTCTGGCATGTAGACTGTTCTGGTCTTCTGCACAGAAATCCTTACGACACTGACAGAAGAGTATCACGTGCTTCCAGCCTTAGGCTCAGATTCCTTTCCTGTGCCTTCATGTGTGCCCAGAAAGAGAGGCATTTACCAGAGTCCCAGTTGGTGCTTGCCCAGGAATCTATTCTTTGGGTTCTTTGTTCTTGGTGAGTAACAAAAAATAAAAAGACTAAAACCCACCTGGTTCCTTCTGATCTGTATAAAGAACTTTTGCTCTTCCATCCCCAGTCAGCCTGTAGCTATGACAGAGCCAGAGAGGTGCAGTCCAGGGCTGGCCTGCTGTACTGCTGAGCTCCCTCCCTTAGCACCTATGACAGGAAGCTTTTTCTTCCTCCCAGATAAGACATTGTCTGTGGCTATCGAAGGCAGCGTGGACGAAGCCAAGGCTCTGTTCAAGCCTCCCGAGGACTCCCAAGGTAAGTGCTGGTTAGGAGGCTTCCCCCAGTCTTAGCAGTTCCAGGGATCCTAGCCATGGGCAGTGCTGTCTTTTGGCAAATTACTGCTGGTTCTTAGGCGCACGGGCCTTGACTTTAGTACCTAAGTCCTCAGGGGCAGGAAAGAACGCAGTTCTTTTATGCTCAGTTCCCACAGCCACAGAGCATAGTCTTTAATTTCATCCCTGCAACTCACCAGCTCGTGATCCCAAGGAAGCTCTTTAGTAGTGCTGAGCCTCAGTTTACTCACCTGTCAAAAGAAGATTGCAATCAAGGCTCAACCTTTAACAACATGTCAGTGATCTCTTATAGAAGGGTTTAATGGCCCCTGGGTGAAATATAACAATCTTCACACTCTTTCCCCTAAGGAAACTTTTTTATAGCATTTTCAGTGTTTTTTATAACAAACAATAAAAAATAAATTATTTCGGTTATGCTTTGGGGCAGGGATTAGGGTTCAGGATAGAAACATCCGAAATATGTTGGTGGGTAGGTATAATGGTGGTGGGATTGGTGTTCGAATATTAAATGTAATCAAATATTGTGAACTACTTTATGAAATTTTTTAAAAAGTTTGTAATACACTATAGAATATGGCGACAAACTATGATAACGTTCTATTCTTGTACAGTTATTATGTAGATTAAGTGAGTCATGCTTATAAAGCCCTTTGTTTCCTCCTTAGCACATAGCCCACCCTCAGTTGATGTGAACTATTATTCTGATTGTCACTTGTATCATATCTCTACCACCCATGGAGGGGCTTGTGACTCATAGAAGGACACTAAAAACAAGAGTGGTGAAATTGTAGATAATTTTTTATATTCTTGGCTTACTGTACTTAATGAATAAAAAGTAGTGATTTGACTATTTTTAAGAAACCGTTTATAGCCAGGGATGAGCTAAGAAGTAGAGTGCTTACCTTGAGCCTGAGCGATAGTAGAGTGGGTAGGGTGCTTGCTTGCCTTACACATGGTTCACCCAGGCATCCCATATGGTCCCCTGAGCCCTGGCAGAAGTGATCCCTGAGTACAGAGCTGGGGTCAGCCCTGAGCACCATTAGGTGTGATCCCCTCCCAAAAAAACAAAAATAGAGTGCTTATCTTACATGTGTGGAGCTGTGGGTTCCATTCTGCCACACAAAAATAATTGGAGAGAGAGAGAGAGCGAGAGCGCAAGTCAGACCTCTTTGTATAAAACATAGTCTGGGCCCAGGGCCCATTTCCATCTCAGAAATTCAGAAACGCCTTCACGTCTCTTTTTGCCTACAGATGATGAAAGCGACTCGGATGCTGAAGAGGAACAAACCACGGTGAGAACCATTTCCTTCTGTGGGCTGCCAAGCAGTGACTGGGAGCCTGCTACTTGGGCAGGTGCTGTGCTCCCTGGAAACAGAAGAAGAGGTTTGAGAGAGGGCCGCAGGGGAGCGCGGCAGCCAGAGAGTGGAAGCAGTGGGTCCCAGGCAGCAGTGCTGAGGCATTGGCCAGCAGGAAGAGAGAAGAGAAGGGGACTCATCAGCTTGGCTCTTTCCCTGTCCAGAAACGCCGGCGACCCACGCTGGGAGTTCAGTTGGATGACAAGCGCAAGGAGATGCTGAAGAGGCACCCCCTGTCCGTCATACTGGACCTGAAGTGCAAAGGTTGGCTCCCTTGTCCTGACAATCTCGTTACACCTAGCAAGTTAGATCCCTGTAGGTGCCAAGTTCTGGCAGTTCAGAGGTCTCCTTATGTAGATGATTTCAGGGACTAATCTCAACACTGTATTCACGCAGTGCCATGCATGGGATCCAGCCTGCGCTTCCTGACTGCAAAGCATGCGCTCAGCCAGCAGAGCTAGCTTTCTGGCCTGAGGGGTTTTGTTTTGTTTTTTGCTTTTTGCAGTGCTGGGTATTGAACCAGATCTTAGGAGGTTAAGACACATGCTTTACCACTCAGCCACCATCACCAGTCATTTGGTTTGTTTTTGGGGGGACCATACCTAGCCATGCTCAGTACTTACTCCTGGCAGGAATCACTCCTGGCATGACTCTGGGGACATATATGGTACCGGAGATTGAACCCCAGGTTGACTGCATGCAAGGCAAGCACCCTACCAGCTGTCATATCACTCTGGCCCCACCAGCCAATATTTTTGGGGGGAGAGTGCTCACTTGGCGGTGCTCAGGGGTTACTACTGGCTCTACACTCAGCACCATATAGGATGCGCAGGATCCCATGCATCTACATGCACAGCAAGCACCTTACCTGCTTTACTATCTCTCCAGCCCACTGGTCGGTCTCTTTCCACATCGTGTTTGTTAGAAGCAAAGCAGTTCATCCGCGTGAAGTTCCACAACTCTTGGATTGGGGAGTGAAGGATTTGTAGAACTGCCTTTCCTGGCCCAACATTGTATCTTTGTCCTGGACCCAAAGACTTGTTGACTCTTTTTTTGTTCCATGCTGTTAACCCTGCCTGCTGTTCAACTCATCCATGGCCCCTTCTTTTCCTCTTTCCCTGCAGATGACAGTATGATTCACCTGACTTTCTATTACCTCATGAACCTCAACATCATGACAGTGAAAGCCAAAGTGACCACGGCGTCGGAGCTGATCACCCCCTTAAGTGCAGGGTACTGGATAGTAGGGTACTGTGGAGGGTGGATCTTCGCAGGGTGGGAACCTTTGGGCTGGCCTGCTTCCCTTCAGTTTCCCCCCTGAGTCTGACGCTGAGGTGCTCACAGCTTTGTTGGCTTCCGTTGTGCTTTCTGGTTCCTGGCCCGTCACTGGTGTTTAGAAATCACTGACTTCCACTGCTGAAGTCCACTTACTGCACAGAGAGGAGTGATGGCAGCATACTGCACATTGAAGGAGGAAGCCAGATACCAGCTTTTCACAGCAGTGAGAAGAGCAGGTGCAGGGGAAACTGAGGGTGAAAGAGCTTCACTCAGAGAGAATGTCGCTCCCCTGGCCTGCCTTAGCCCTGCTCTGTCCACTTCTCAGCGGTGGGTAGCCCATAGAGGGACATAGTCTGGTGCCTGGTAGAATGAGTCCCTTTCACAGCTGCCTGGTAAGGAGGTGCCCCTGGTTTTATTTTTAATTTTTTTAATTTTTTAACATATTTTGGCTTATTGGGCCCCATCCAGCAATGCACGGGGCTTACTCCTGGCTCTGTACTTAGGAATCAGTCCTGGCGGTGCTTGGGGGGGACCATTTGGGATGCTGGGACTCGAACCCGGGTTGGCCGCATGCAAGGCAAACATCCTACCCACTGTACTGTTACTCCAGCCCTGTCCCTGGTTTTAGACCATGCATTTAACAGCCCCTACCTCTTCCAGGCTACCTTGGGTCTGATCTGATTCTTTGTAAGCATCTGGGTGGAAATAATACAATTAACCAGAGATCAGCAGACTCAAGGAGCCAGGAATCTTGGCTAGAGGTACACAGGCAGCTGTTACATGGCATATCTCACACCTGTCATAGTGCCGGGAACTGAGCTCCCAGCAAGTCTGCAGTAGGACCCTGGAGAGCTCTCTGAGGAGCTGGAGCTCAGTGTGCACTGAACCTGGCCTGTGCCCAGCTGCTAGCAGGCAGGGCATCTGAGAGGCCACAGCATTCAGGACAGGAGTTCCACTGTGGCCAGGGAGTTAACGTGACCCAAAGTCCTGGCTGTGCAGTGAGACTAGGAGGTCTGTCTGCAGGGGCAAACTCTGCTCCCTCTGCTGTGGTCAGAAGGGAACAGAGTCAATGTCACCTGGAGTGTCTCTGTGCAGTGTAATAATCTCAAGCACTGGGACCAAGGGGCCAGGATGGTTAATTCTCTTATTTCCACCCAGATGCTTATAAAGAGTCAGATCAGACCCAGGGAGATAGTTCAGAGGGCTTGAACGCGCCCCAAATTTGACTCTCTGGCACTGCTTGGTTCCCCTAAACACTATCAGGTATGATCCGAAAAGATCAGCTCAAAGGGTTGGAGTGCATGTCTGGCATGCCTGGGGCCCTGGGTTTAACCCCTGGCACCACATGGCCTTCCTCACTCCATCCGGGCTAATCTATGTCCCTGCTCTTTTTATTGAACTTGGTTATTGGATCACACCCAGTGGGGCTTGTGGCTGTTCCCAGTTCAGTGCTTGGGGGTCATTTCCAACCATGCTTAGGGGATTTTGTAGTGCTAGATTGAACTTTTGGCTCCTACATGCAAAGTGTGCATTCCAGATCATTGAACTGTCTCTCTAACCCCATATTACCTAATTTTCTTCTGTTTAATTTTTTTTCCTCTTTTTTTTTTTTGGCCACTCCTGGCACAGCTCAGGGGTCCTGGCTCTGCCCTCAGGAATTGCTCTTCGTTTACTCAGGGGATGTCAGGGATTGAACTCGGTTGGCCACATGCAAGGCAAGCACCCTACCCACTACTATTGCTCTGGCCCCATTCCCTGATGTTTCTCAGGTGCTTTTTTGTTAGTTTTGTTTCATTTTTTGTTATTGGACCACATCTGTCACTGCTTAGAGGCTATTCCAAGCTCTGTGCTTGGAGTCACCCTTGGCCATACTGGGGGATTGAACCCAGGCCTCCCATAGACAGTGCATTCTGCTTGTGAGCTATATCGTCAACCCAACTATTTTTGTTTGTAGTTTGGATTTTGAATGTGGATCTCTGAAAGATCCATAAGTCACAATTAGCTTAAGAATCTTTTAACTCTTGGGCCAGAGTGATAGTATTGCGGGTAGGGCACTTACCTTGCATGTGTTGGATACAGTTTTGATCCCCAACATCCCTGTGGTTGCCTGAGCTCTGCCAGGAGTGATCCCTAAGCATAGAGTTAGGAGTAAGCCCTGAGCACCACTAGATGTGCCCTCCCTGCAAAACATATAAATAATTATTTTCTAGAATGTTTTTTCATTACCGGTGATGCTCAGGGATTACTCCTGGCAGTGTTCAGGGGACTATGTGGGATGCTGGGGATTAAACCCAGGTTGGCTGTGTGCAAAGCAAATAAATGCCCTAATTGCTGTACTATTGCTCTGACCCATTAGGTCACTGTAATTCATCAGTCAGACTTCAGTTTTGTTTGTTTTGGGGCCATACCCAGCTGTGTTCAGAGCTTACTCCTGGCTCTGTGCTCAGGGATCATTCCTGGTGGGCTCGGGGAACCATATGGGGTGCTGGGGATCAAACTGATGCCAGCCACGTGCAAGCCAAACACCCTACCTGCTATACTACCTCTCCAGCCCAGAATTCTTACTGATTGTCAGTTGGTTCTCCATGTCAGGCAGCAAAGAGGACAGAGTCCCCCCTGAGGTCCAGGGAGATTCTGGGCCAACCGAAAAAATAAGAGCCAGAAGGCGTCACTGTCCTGGTGTTAAGTTCCCAAAGACACGCCACATGCTGGGGCCGCGCATGCCAAGATCAGCCAAGCCTCCTGAGCTGTTCTTGATGCTATTCCTGGAAAGATGGAAGAACATCCCTCCTCCCCTCTGTGGGTCTGCTTGTTCTTTGTGATCGGATTACTCCCCCTCCACCTCCCCCAGCCATCTCTTCTCTCTCTTCTCTGCTTGTCACATTAATTACAGGCTGAGCTCTAGCCATTCCAGTGGGCGGTAGTGGTGTCGCTGTCACTCTGCTTATAGCACCAGGTCACCTTGACTTCCATGCACGTGATGCTCTTCTTCTGGGAATGTAAAGGCAACCTTTTTTCTCTGTGATCAGCATGAGATTTGATCAGAGTGCGGTAGACACAGCAGCAAAGCTACACGCTTGTCCTTTCTGGTATAGAAAGGAGTCTGTCTTGTTCCTGTGAAAACTTGTATTTTTTCTGTTTCTGATGCTATAGGACTTTGCTTCTTGGAGTAAGGCCTGGTCACCATATAAGTTTTGGAAAGATAGATATTTTGGGGGCTGGAGCGAGAACATAGCGGGGAGGGCATTTGTTTTGCACGCAGCCGACCCAGGTTTGATTCCCAGCATCCCATACAGTTCCCCGAGCACCACCAGAAGTAATTCCTGAGGGCATGAGCCAGGAATAACCCCTGTGGAATGCTGGGTGTGGCCCAAAAAGCAAAAAAAAAAAAAAAGATTTTTTTGTTGCAGTGTCTTTTGAGATGAGAGTGGGTAGGAGAGGGTATGGGTCACACTGGGTGTTGCACAGGGCCTAGTCCTGGTTCTCTTTAATTGTGACCCTGGAAGGTGCTCAAGAGGTCATCTGTTGTACCAGGGATTCAGACTGGGGTTAGCTGCATGCAAGGTGAGAATCTTTGGCTTTTATTTTAGTGTTTTCTTGGGGTAGACAGGGTTACTAGTTGGCAGTGCAGTCCTTGTAGGAAATCAAGTTGGAGGTAGAAGTACCGCAGTTTTGGGAGGCTGAGAATTGACCCCATGCCTTGCACATAAAGGCATCTACTTGGGATTGGAGAGATTGTAACAGCAGGTAAGGCACTTGTCTTGCACGCAGCCAACCAGGTTCAATCCTCAGCACCTCATATGGTCTCCCAGGTACTACCAGGAATGATCCCTGAGCAAAGAGCCAAGAGTCAGCCCAGAGCACCTCTGTCTGTAGACTAATACCTGAAAGAATAAAAGCAAAAAGACATGTGTGTTTAAGCTTCATCCCTAGCCAAGGACAGATTTACTTCATTTATTTTTTGGCAGGGGCAGGACGGGGCTTACATCCTGTGATGCTCAGGAGTTACTCCTGGCAGTGCTTGGGGAACCACATGGGTTCTGTACCCGGGATTGAACCCGGGTCGGCCATGTGCAAGGCAAATGCTCTATCCACTGTACTACTGCTCCTGCCCCAGATTTGCTTTATTAAGTTTGGTTACGGGACCAGCGAAATAGTGTAGCGGATAAGGTGCTTGCCTTCCATGCAGTTGAACAGGATTTGCTCCACGGAACTCCTTGTGGTCCCCTGAGCCTTCCCAGGAGTGATTCCTGAGCACAGAACTAGAGATAAGCTCTGAGCCCAGCCAGGTGTGGCCCAAATATCAAAACAATTTATAAAAATATTAAAAAAAAAACAGGATCATTAGGATCACTAATTCCGGTTGGGAGATACCTCAAAGGGCTGGAACATTGGGTTTGATTCTTGGCATCCCATAGTCTCTCAGGCACCACTGGGAGCAGCCCCTGAGCTCCCAGCCAGGACTAACCTTGGCACATCACCAGGTTAGTGGTTGAGGCCTCACAACCATGTCTAACATGCACAAGGCCCTCGGTTTGACCCCAGTACCAAATGGCTTCCCTAGCAGTGCCTGAGAAATTCTCTACCCACAATCTCCACCAAAATAAATAAATAAAGGATATTTATGCAAAAGCATTCAGAAATGGTGGCCTTAGTTCCCAGGGAGGCATCATTACCAATGTACCTTGAGGGAGGGAGGGGACCAGACCCGCATTCTCACCACAATATTCAACCTTTTCAGGGACTTGCTATCTCCTGACTCAGTCCTGAGCTGTCTGTATCCTGGGGACCATGGAAAGAAAACTCCAAATCCAGCCAATCAGTATCAGTTTGATAAAGTTGGGTGAGTCAGCAGTATTTTTTCTCTTCCCCAGCATCTCTGCTTCAGATCTTTCCCGGAGGCTCAAACCCAACCCTGGAGGGCAAGGAACACCCTAGGGTGGTAAGGGGGGGGGGGGGCTCTGTCAGGAGAAAGAAGCATGTGCCCCTTCCTGCTTATGGGGGTCCAGGAGGGCAGGCAAGGGCAGCAAGGGGTGAGTCTTGGGGAACACAATGCAGTTAGAATGCTTAACGTTTTAATTCTCAGAGGATGAATCTTTTTAATACCTTATTAATTTGAGGCCTGTGAAGTGATCAGAGCCACTGCCATTTTATCCAGATTTGCTTTTCAGTAGAAAGCTGCCGGGGGGAAAAGAATAATAGTGCAAATGGAGAAAATGAAATCCCCAGGTGGGACTTGGTGAATTGAAGAGGCGTTGCGGGCCGCCGGGCCAGGAGCCCAGCTGAGCTTATGGGAGCCGCCGATCTGGGCGGACTGGAAGAGGGGGGTGGGATCAAACCCCGGGGCACTGGAGAAATGAGTTCTGAAACAATTGCATTCTTTGTTCTTTCCTGTAGCATCCTGACTTTGCGAGACTATGTACTTGACCTCGGTCACCCATACTTGTGGGTACAGAAATTGGGCGGCCTCCACTTCCCCAAAGAGCAGCCCCAGGTGTGTGCACTATTCTGGAGATAATCCCCTTCATCTCCTCTCTCAGTGACCCCAGAAAGGTTCCTCAGGGACAGGCTTTGACCTTTGACCTAGCAGGTTGCTTCCTGACAGTGCTCTGATTAGCCCTCCCTCCACTCAGAATTCAGAAATGTTTGAAGTATGGGGTTGGAGTGATAGTACAGCAGGTAGGGCATTTGCCTTGCACACAGCTGACCCAGTCTCGATCCCCAGCATGCAATATAGTGCCCCGAGCACCACCAGGAGTGATTCCTGAGTGCAGAGCCGAGAGTAACCTGAGCGTTACAGGGTATGACCCAAAAAGAAGAAAAAAAAAAATGTTTGACGTCTACAAGTATTTAAGTGCCTTTTGCCTTCTTCCTGAGTGCAGCCTTCTAGATGCAAGTCCACGACCTCTTGTTCGGGGCACCTCAACTCTGACCCTGGGTCTTGTGTCCAGAGAGAGCAGAACTGAGTCATCAGCAGAACCTTACAGGACTCTCGGGCCTTCGCCGCCTTTCTTTCCTCAGGCGTAGCCTGTGGCCTTTTAACAACGCAGTGGCTTTCGTTGGTGTAGGGACATAGCTTCTGTCCTGATGCAGCAGGGTGGCCCTGCTATTCCCAGGAAGTGTCCCTCTCAGGGTGTGGGTGGTCCCAGAGAGGCATGTTTTGGGGGCAGTGGCGGGAGCAGAGGATGGGGAGCATTGAGGTATGTGCCACTTGCTGTCGCCCACAGCACACCGTGATCGCTGACCATTCCCTGAGCTCCAGCCACATGGAGAGCACCATGAAGCTGCTGAGGACCAGGGTGCAGTCCCGCATGGCCCTCCACAAGCAGTTCGCATCCCTGGGTAAGCTGGCTTTAGGGTGGTGGCCTGAAAACCACCCAGACAGCACAGGGACCAAAACGACTTAGCCCTTCCCTCGGGTTCCCTGCGTCCTGATGACAGCAGAGCGAGCCAGCCTCAGCATGGTAGGGCGCACTAGAGAACTGCAGGCAGCTCATTCTTGATCAGTGTCTGTCAGATTGATGTGCCTTTGATTGACGGTTACTTGGAGCCCAATTCCTGTCATTTCCCATGCCCATGCGCTGGGGACCAGCCATGCACTGTAGCCTCTATGTTTGTGTGGAGCTGACATTCAGCTTAGAGAATGCAGTGGAAAGGGAGCTGCCCCCTCCTGCTGAGCTGGCATCCCCCAGGCAGAGACTGAGTGCTCCTGGCTGATTCTAGTTACGCACTGACCAAGTTGCATTTGGGCGTTTCTGCATTGATTGATTCGGTGGCTACTTGTCAAGGGTTTATAGTGCACAATGCATTTGTAGACTGGTAAATGTCTTTCTGATCTCAAAGAGGTGTCAGAGAACTGGAGGAAGAGCTCAGTAGCTGGGCTCATGCTTGGCATTTAGGAGTCTCGAGTTAACTACCTCGCTTCACGTGTCCCCCCAACTCTTCTCCCTGAGCCCCGCTGAGTTTGGCCCCAAAACAAGAACGAGTGTGAGGAAAGGCATTGGGTTTGCAAGACTCTTCTGGAGGACCCCTCCTGCTGCTTTCTGGGCCCGTCCTTGTGCTCTCAGGTCAGCATTGCTGAGTTCAGCTCGTTCCAAGGTTGCATGATTATCACTGTGGATGATGGTCACTGTCTTGGCATATTTGCTTATTGAAACGCCAGCAGGAATTTACCCTGAAGCAGCTCTTCAGCTCTGCTCCGTTAGAGGAACTGACACAGAACACTCAAGCCCTTTCCTCTGTCAAGGTCAGCTGAGAGAACGCTGCCCTCTCAGCTGTATGATGTAATGGACAGCCCCTGCTACAGAAGCACAGATACTGGTTCTGGCTGTGTTTGCGGGTGAGGGTTCCTGGCGGTCATTGACTCAAGGCACCGAGAAGAGCCAGCCTGGGTTGGGCCACAAGTATATGGCACTGGGGTTGGGAGGCTGAGTTCCTGGCACCCACATACCTACTGGATGGCAGTGTACTGAGATGATGGGCAGGTGTCCAAAGCCCTCCAGAGGTTGTGATACAAGTTCCCAGCTGTGGCACCTGAGGTCTATCTGTGACACACCATCCTTGCTTTCTTTCAGAACATGGCATTGTACCAGTGACCAGCGACTGCCAGTACCTCTTCCCTGTAAAGGTCGTCTCTCGCCTGGTGAAGTGGGTGACTCTTGCGTATGATGATTACCTGGTAGGTGGAGGCATAACAGGTCCCTACTGTCCTGGGGACTTCAGGCCCCTGTCACCTTTCAGCTCCTGGCCCTCCCCCCTACAGGCCAGGGGACTTGGCTAGAGGAGCCAGCAAGGCCACTCGCTGTGCTTGGTGACTTCTAGGAGCTGCATTTCACCAAAGACATTGTGGAGGCAGGACTGGCTGGGGACACCAATCTCTATTACATGGCGCTCGTGGAGAGGGGCACAGGTAAGTGCTCAGTGGCTCGCACTGGTTCTTGATCCGAGGCCACAAAAAGGAAACATTTGTGGAACTCTCACAGAGGAAGTGGTGACGGCGCCTAAACTCCCGCCATGGTAACTTTGCCTTGGTGCGTGGTTGTAAGCCCTGCTGCATGTCATATATGTCCTATCTCTCTAGACCCATGGTATCATATTTATGAAGAAAGTACTCTACCACTGAGCTCAGTCCCTGCTTATTTATTTAATATTTTTATTTCTTTTTTTATGTGTTGTGGCATTGACGAAAGATTGAATATAGTTGATTGTGATGCTCACTCAGTGGGTTTTGGTGCTTGCCAGGCGTCGTCTGCCTGGTTTTTGTGTTCATATATGTGCTTGCTATGTTCAACCCCTTTTTTTATTTGTGCTTTTAAGAAATTATGCTGGGGGCCAGAGGGATAGTAGAGTGAGTAGGGTGTTTGTCTAGCCAACCTGGGCTCAATCCTTGGCATCCCATATGGTTCCCCTGAGCATTGCTAGGTGTGCCCCAAAAGCCAAAAAAATATAAAGAAATTATTCTGTAGAGAGACTAAAGAGATAGTACAGTGGGTAGGGCGCTGCTTTGTATGCATCTGACCTTGCAATAGGTCCCCTGCACCCCTTATGGTCCATCGAGCACCGCCAGAAGTAATTCCTGAGTGCAGAGCCAGGAGTAACCTCTGACCATTGCTGGGAGTGGCCCAAAAACAAAACAGATTTATTACGTTAAAAATTAAGTATTTTGGGTACAAATGAAGTTCTTTGATCTCATCTTGTTCTCTCCCTCAAAATAGATATTTAGAGAACCAGAGAGATAGCATAACAGGTAGTGCATTTGCCTTACATGAGGCTAACCCAGTTTGGTTCAGTCCCCAATAAAGAGAATAGTTACTATTTGGAATGAATACATTTACTTCCTATCCTCTCCCCTTTTGAAAAAATACTTTCACTGGTCAGGGATGTAGCTCTGTGTTGGAGCACTACTAGCCTCCATGTATGGGGCCGTGGGGTCAATCCCTGGCACTCTGCACACTTATGTAAAAACACTTCTGTTTCATCTTTAATGACATAAGGTCGTATTTTGAAAAAGCATGAGATATGCAGTATGAGATACTGAAAAGACTAGTGATAGTAATTCATTGGAAAGTGTTAACTTCTGCTTTCTAATTGCTCGAGGTAAAGGCCCTCCTGTTGTTCGTCGATTTGCTCGAGCGGGCCCAGTAACGTCTCCATTGGAGACTTTGTTGTGACTGTGTCTGGCATATTGAATACGTCACGGGGAGCTTGCCAGGCTCAGCCGTGCGGGCGAGATACTCTCAGTAGCTTGCCGGGCTCTCTGAGAGGGGTGGAGGAATCGAACTCGGGTCGGCCATGTTGGCTGCGTGCAAGGCAAACGCCCTACCGCTGTGCTATCGCTCCAGCCCTAATTAAGGAGGTGAAAATAAAGAGAACTAATAAGTTTTCTAGTTCATACATAAATTAAAATTTTCACTAATTGCAAGAATTTTTTTTCACGAAATTGTGGAATTTGAAAAATTCAAATTACAATTTAGGTGAACAAGGGGTTAACCATTTCAAATATACATGATCTTTACATCATTTTACAACAGATTAGTTAGGAACTTTGCATAATTGAATGGATGAAGTACAGAAAACTCGGGGGTCTAGTGGCTCATGGCCTCCATGTCTGGGTCTCTGGGTTCGATCCTTGGCACCACATTCAGAACACACACTCGGCGGAGGAGATAAATGAGCAGCCTGCCAGGACCTAAGTTTGAACCCCAGTACCACATGCTGCCCCCCAAGCACTCGCAGGAGTGATTCCTTATCACAGAGCCAGGAGTGAGCCCTGAGCGCTGCCAAGTGTGGGCCCTTCCTGTATACCCCCACAAAAACCACACACTTCTGTCAGGAGTAGATAGAGTGGGCAAGCCCAGCAGGACTTCACGTTCAGCGCTTTTATGGCGGAGATTGTCATACTCAAATCTCAAAACAAAAGCAGAAGTTAGTGTCGAAGCATACTCAACACTGGGCGGATATTATGAATCACCTGAGCTAGCTTTAGGTATGGGGGTTTGGGAGGAGAGGGAGATATGACTGGCAGACTGGATTTCAAAACTAAATTTTCTTCTCCCTTCCCTTCCCAGCCAAACTACAGGCTGCGGTGGTTTTGAACCCTGGCTACTCTTCCATCCCACCCATCTTCCGGCTTTGTCTGAACTGGAAAGGGGAAAAAAACAACAGCAATGATGACAATATTCGGGTAAGACCCCACTGGGCTGACGGGAGGGGCAGAGAGCTCCCAGGGACGTTGGGCACTGACAGGACCTGCTGCAGCTGAGGAGCTGCAGCTGGCATAAGTCCCAGGATTCAGGCCTGCCAGATGGGTAGCCTTTGCTGCAGGCGCTGGAGGTAATGAGAAGAGCGAGCTCAGAACCATTTCAGCTACTTGCTAACTTGGAGTCCCAGATCTCTCCAATTATTGAAGAAAGATAATATGAATATTTGCCTTAAAAGATTATAGTTTTGGGGGCTGGAATGATAGCACAGCGGGTAGGGCGTTTGCCTTGCATGTGGCCAATCCGGGTTCGAGTCCCAGCATCCCATATGGTCCCCTGAGCATCGCTTTTGGGTGTGACCCTAAAAGCAAAAAAAAAAAAAAAATTATAGTTTTGGGGGCTGGAGCAATAGTACAGCAAGTAGGGCATTTGCCTTGCATGCAGCTGACCTGGGTTCGATCTCCAGCATCCCATATGGTCCCCTGAGCACTGCCAGGAGTAATTCCTGAGTGCTGTGCATCGCTGGGTGTGACTCAAAAAGCAAAAAAATTAAAAAATATAGTTTTGAGCAATAATACAGAAGTGAGGCACTTGTCTTATGTGCAGGTGACCTGGTTTGATCCTCAGCATCCCATATGGTCAGTCCCTCGAGCCCACCAGAGTGATCCCTGAGTGCAAAGCCAGGAGTCAGCCCTGAGAACTGCTGGGTGTGGCCTCCCAAAACAACAAAAAAAATTAAGTCTTGGGTTCAAAGACATATTACAAGGGCTGAGGTGCTGCATTGCCAATTCTAGCTCAGCCCTGGCGCTATGTATGATCCTCTAAACACCATTATGGGTGATTCCTTAGCACAGAGCCAGGAATAAGCCCCGAGCACTGCCAGGTGTGACCCTAAAACAAAATAAAAAAATGCTTGTCTTGTGGGAGAGGCAGCTCAGTGGGCTGGAGCACAAACTTTGCATGCAGAAGCCTGTGTTCAGTCCCCATCATCACATTGTCCCCAAACTCTGGTTTCGACCTCTGAGAACAGGAGTTGATAGTAGCCTCATGCACCACCAGGTATGGTCCCCGAAATACAAAAGATTGTTGTTTTTAGAGACCAGGGACATAGCTCAAGTGGTAGGCCCTGAAATCCGTCCCCGGCCCTTCATGGCCTCCGAGCACGATAGTGCCATGTTGGACACCAAACTATTAGTCCTGTACTACTGGGCGGAGGAGTGCTTGGAATGGCCCCTGAAAAGTAATAAATATGGGCTGAGAGATAGCTCAGGGGGCTGGAGTGATGGATTGCATGTGGGAGACCTAGGTTCATTCCCTATCGCTGCATGGGTGCCAGAGCACCCAGAGTAACCCCCAAGCATTGAGCCAGGTGTAGCCTCCAGCACCACTGGGTGTGCGCCACAAACCAAGAAATTAAGAGGGGCCAGAGAAGACTACAGCAGTTAGGGTGCTCGCCCTGCACATGGCTGGCCCGGCCTCAATCTCTCGCATTCCATATGGTCCCCCAAGCAGCACCAGGAGTAATTCCTGACTGAGGGCAGAGCTAGGAGTAACCCCTGAGTATTATCAGATGAAAGAAATAAAGACAACTCAGGTCCCTACTCTGGAGTGGAACCCCGGTGGGTTCGTGCAAGGAGAACCCTTCCAAGGGTTCTGATAAGATCAGAAGACCCACTTTGAATCACGCCTCTGTCCTGTCCTTGCATGCTGGGGGTCACACTGTGAGTTTTTGTTCTCACATGCCAGGCTGAGGTGTGGTGAGGATTCACGGGGCCAGGGATCTTGGGCAGCAGAGTGCCAGGATCACCTTTCATGCATGTGGGCAGTAGTGGGGATTGAGCCATCTCTGAGCCATCTCTCAGCCCCTTGTATCTTATTAATAAGTTTTTCAAAACAATTCATTTCTCAGTGTTGGAGACTAGGAAGTTGGGGATCAAAGTCAGTGTCTGTCTTGGGGCCAGAGTGTTATTAGTACAGTTAGTACAGGTGTTCACCTTGCATGTGGCTGACCTTTGTTCAATCCCCGGCATCCTCTATGGTTCCCTGAGCACCACCAGGAGTGATTCCTGAGTGTAGAGCCAGGAGTAAAGGAGTAACCCTTCACCACTGGGTATGACCCAAAAATAACAGGGGAAAAATATTTGTATTTCTAGACCCAAGAGATTAGCAGGCTGGAGTATAAGCTTTGCAGGTAGGACACCTGGGTTGAATCCCCAGCATTACATGGTCCAGGTGTGATCTTTAAGATTCAAAAAAAAATTTACACATCTAAGAAGTATGGGAACACTTTTAGAAAAGCCTTTAATGAGTCACTTTAAGGTGGAATGGAAAGACCAGCCAATCATTCTTGATGTAGTTTCTACCATAAGTATTCAAAGAACGAATACTGAAAACACTTTTCCTGGGAGTTTTCTTTAGTATTTTTCTTTGTTGTATGAATACATAAAAGGTATGGTTATATGATTACTATAAAGGACAGGGATACTATGTAAAGGAGGAAAACAGTGAGACAATAAATCCAAAAAACCATTGCGGAAATTAAAAATCTGAACTCAAAGTAGGATGGGAAAGTACACTCTCTTTGCACAGGGCTGTCTGTCACACACGGTGCAGCTGTCCTCAGAAGCAAGAGCAGAGGAAAACTGGACACTCGGCTATATACGGGAGCCCCGTGTGGAAACTATAGTCAGGACTGTGACTGCACGTGTGTGGTGTGTGTATCTCTCTGTCTGTATTCCAGTTGTCTTGGCCATCAGTGTATGGGTATCGCTGTCTCTGTCCCTCTCTACTCCGTCAGGGCCATGGTCCCAGACACCAGAGCCATCAAAAGACCTCTCTGTGTTTTTGGTTTTTTTTTGAGGGGGTCATACCCGGCAGTGCTCAGGGTAGAACCTGTGTCAGTCACATGCAAGGCAAACACCCTGCCCGTTGTGCTATCCCTGTGACCCCAGTTTTGAGGTTTGATTCTGGGCCTCTTGTGTGCAGTGCATGCACTCCAGCCCCTTGAGCTCCTACCCTGGCTGTCTCTCTCCTCTGAGCACTCTTTTAAACTCTGACTTGGATCTTGTTTTGAGATTCCTTCTCTTTATACTTCCCTCTCTTATCTGTAGGCAGGGAAAGTTGCCAGTAGGAATTCGGAGAGCCTCTTTATCCCGAAGAAAGGGACCCCCAGGTCAGGCCAGTGCAGCCTGACCGGGCGTGTTTGTGCAGAGACACCGGTAGGCTTTGCTGTGAGCCAGGACCTGCTAACCTGAAGGTGTTGTGCCCGAGTTTCGGATCCCCAGTTGCGGAGAGACCAAGTCCACACCCGATAATGCAAAAGCAAAAGAGCTTTATTACTAGCCTGAGCCATTGCTAGCTCGAGCGAGGGTCCAAGTCTCATCCAACATAGTGGAGTCTTGACAAGTACCCCAACTCTAAATCACAAGCAGTTTATGTGGGGTTCAGAGTTAAGAGCAGTGTGTATACACTGGTCTATTTTTAGCATTGGCCCTATTACAGCAGTGGCCAGCAATTAGACGATGGTGAGTGAAAGTTTCTAAGGAGGGTACAGTGACCCCTCATGACCGGCCAGACCCAAATTCCCAATTCCTTATGTAGGCACATTACTCAGCTGGGAGTTTACCAGAAATTGCAAGTCGTGCTTCAGGGACTCAGGCCTAGTTGAAACTGAGGCCTAGTTGAGACTTAAATGTTAGTTGCAGCTTGTCGTGGCGTCAGTTTTGCCCTCACAAAGGAACCGCTGATTGTCTGTTTTCCCGCACAGGCCATGGAGAGCGAGGTGAATGTGTGCTATAAGGAGCTGTGCGGCCCCCGGCCCGGCCACCAACTCTTGACCAACCAGCTGCAGCGGCTGTGCGTGCTGCTGGACGTCTACCTGGAGACCGAGAGCCATGATGACAGCGTGGAGGGGCCCAAGGAATTTCCGCAGGAGAAGATGTGCCTTCGACTTTTTCGGTGAGGGGTGGGCAGGAGCGGTGATTCTGGGCGGCTCCTCCCGGGTTGGGTGCCCTGGGCAGAGCTTGGAGTGCAGCCTGTACAGCTTGTGCCTTCCTCATCTCTGTTCACAGTGGACATCTCAGCTCTGCCACATTCCCTGAGTGGAGCTTGCTTCCCTCCTTCCTGAAACTTTCCCTCAAGCCCTTTTCCTACCAAGCTGCTCTTTGCAAATGCTTATTTATTTATTTTTGACTTTTGGGGTCACACCCGGCAATGCACAGGGGTTACTCCTTGCTTTGCACTCAGGAATTACTCCTGGCAGTGCTCTGGGGACTGTATGGGATGCTTGGAACTGAACCCAGGTTGGCCGTGTGCAAGGCAAACACTACCCTCTGTACTATCACCCCAGCCCCTGTAAATGCTTTTGATGGTTGTTAGAGTACATAGCAAACTTTTGGTTTTGTTCTTGGATCATACCCAGCAGTGCTCAGGGATTACTCTTGGTTCTGTGCTCAAGGATCACTCCTGGAGGAGCTCCAGGGACCATATGGGATTCTGGGAGGTCAAACCCAGGTTGGCCCCATGCAAGGCAAGCGCCCTGCCTGTGGTACTATTGCTCAGTCCCTTTTAACCCCTGGCAAATAGAGTTAGCACATGAAAAATTTCCAGGATGGTTAAAACAGAAAAGGACAGCCAGTCCTGGGGTCCTGGCACTCAGGGTGTCTGGGCTCAGGGCGCTTCTGGCCATTTTTCCTTTTTTCTCAGATGGTGGCTTCTGTCTTTGTCTTTTATCCCCTGACTTATGGTCTTAAACACCATTTTGGGGCTGGAGTGTTAGAAGAGTGGGTAAGACACTTACTTGCCTTGCATGTCGCTGACCCTGGTTCAATCCACAACACCCCATATGGTACCCCGAGCATTGCCAGGAGTGATGGAGTGATTCCTGAATGCAGAGCCAGAAAACCCCTTGAGTGCTGCTGAGGATGACCGCAGCCCCACCCCACCCCCCCCAAAAAAAAAAACTTGAGTTCACTGCTTGGGCACCTCTTCTTTTTTTTTTTTTTTTTTTTTTTTTTGCTTTTTGGGTCACACCTGGCAATGCACAGGAGTTACTCCTGGCTCTGTACTCAGGAATTACTTCTAGCGGTGCTCAGGGGACCATATGGGATGCTGGGAATCGAACTTGGGTCGGCTGCATGCAAGGCAAATGCCCTATCTGCTGTGCTATCACTCCAGCCCCAACCTCTTCCCTTTTGAACCTGAAATTGAGCACGAGTAGATCTGGGAAGGAGAAGGCTAGAATTCTCATCAGAATATGTCTCTGTCCCCTATCAGTCTGAGAGTCTGACCCTCTCTTCACCCCCATTCTCTAGCAGCCAGTCCCGGCCCTGCACCAGCACCCCACCCCACCCCCGCCTGTCTGGCACCCCACCTGGCCTGCTTCTCTGCATTCTGTGATAGCAACTTGCCCCTTCGCGACTGCTGGAAGGCGGAACTGTTGGCTCTGCTCCGGTGCCTTCCTGGACTGACAGTCCCTCTTGGGCTATGTGAAACCTCAGCAGCTCTTCTCACGGACTCAGCCAGGGCAGGAAACTCTCATGGCGGGTTTTCATTTCCTGCTGCTTCACTCCCGAAGGACTGAGCTTCCTGTGAGAGCATGTTGGGATGGGGCATTGCTGGTGACACGGGTCCAGTTAACTCTGTGACTCGTGAGATCCGAGAGTCTGTTCTTAGCCTTTGTGTCCCCCAGTACACCAGGCCTGAGCAGCACCGCTCCGGGGCTAACCGTTGAACCATCCAGCCCATTTATCTGGGGCAGATATCATTAGGAATAGCCCTGCTGGATTGCTTGACCGATGCTTCGGAGCCTCTCACCTCCCAAAGGAAAAGAACAAAACTGGCCTCACACCTTACTCAGTGTTCTGCAGTCTGCTTTTGTGAAAGTTCCCTTTTCCCCTCTAATAGCTGCACAGTATTCCCTTGTGCAGCCAACCCATAATTTATTCTGCCAGTCCAGAGTGCCTGGTCTTAACTGCTCTCTCCTCTCCGGTTTCTCTAGGGGTCCTAGCAGGATGAAGCCTTTTAAATATAACCATCCACAAGGATTCTTCAGTCATCGCTGACTGCCGCCCGCTGGTTCCCCCCTCCGACCCCCCACCCAACATGTACCCTCTGCTTTCAGCTCTGGCCCACATGTGGCTCTTGTTGTTCTCTAAAGACTGGGGGCAGTTTTTTGCGTGTGTGTGTTTTTTTAGCCTATTAAATTGTCACCTGACCAAGTGGCTTTTGTCTTGCTCCTTGGGGAGGGAGGTGGCTTTGTCCTCTGAAAGGACAGGAGGAAGCTGTGGTACAGTGTGAAAGAGTGTGTGTGGAGAGGCTGGCCCTGGGTGGCCGAGAAAACCCGAGTGTGAAAGATTCTGATTCTGCGAAGATGCTCTTCCAGGTGATTTGGGCATTTATTCTCCCAAGTCCCTGCTGTTAGGTCGGGAGTGGGAAGCCCCAGGGAAAAATCTCTTCTTCCTCTAGTCCTGTGAGAATCTGGTGGCCAAATTCTCTGATGGCTGCAAGGATTACAGAAATGCACACGGAAGCAAATGCACCACATAAGAAACCAGGAATCTTGAAGGATTTCACTAAAGGGATGAAAGTGACTTGAGGCAGATTCAAATGCTGCTGTTTGAGGCACTGGCTGAGTGGCCCTAGGTAATAGCTGAGATGATTCCTTAGGTGAGGTCAAAATAAGATGCCTTTAAAAATAGCAATTTGCTACTCAGAGGATTAGGAGCATTCCTGGGAAATAGGTAATACTTTCTAAAATAATTACAAAATGACCTCCTTTGTAATTCTGCAGGAAAAAAAAGCATTCTTAGTTACATTAGAAAAATTATTCTGTGGGGGTCAGAGCCATAGTGCAGTGGGTATGTATTTGACATGCATGCAGCTGACCCAGGTTCAATTCCCAGCACCCCATGTGGTCCTCCTAGCAAAAGTGATTCCTTGTACTTCTAGGGGAGGCCTAACACCCCCCCCCATGCCACCCAAATATATATACGTGTGTGTGTGTGTGTGTTTGTACTTTAGCAATACCTGAAATGGAACCCAGGGTTTTGCACATGCAGAGAATCTACTGCTGATTTTCATTAGTGGGCCATAAGAAATGAAATATGAAGATATAAAAATATTTTTTAAATGATCACATGTCGCAAGCATATGCTAGAGTTTGTTAAATTGGCTGGAGAGATAGTTCCATGGATGAGGCGTTTGCCTTGCACATGCCTACCAGGGTTCAATCCCCAGTGCCCATATGTTCCTTGAGCCCCTTCAGATCCCTGAGTGCAGAGTCAGGAGTAAGCCCTGAACATTACTGGGGATGGCCCAAAAATGAAAATAAAAATAAAACAGATTCCCACACCCCACTAAGTCTTGGATGTAGTTGACCTGAGCAGGCTTGGGAAGTATTTTTAACAAGTTCCCCAGGTACAGATTGCCCTAGTCTCATTTTGGAAGTCCCTGTACTTTTTCCCCTTCTCACTTTTTCTCGGTAACACCTAAAACAATGCAAGTGAGTCCAGTTCTCTGTAGCGGCTTCCCCTTCCCTGTGTGCTGGACTGAGTCCTTTCCATGGTGTGTGACCCCCTGAATCTCCCCTGACCTTGCCTCTTCCCTGATCTATTTCCCTGGAACTCTGTCCCTGCTTGCATCCCTTTGGTATGGCCACCTTCAGGACTTCCATCTCACTACCTGTGCTGAGTAAGATTGAAATGGATCCTAAAAATAGTTTTCCGAATGGCCCCTGCATTACAGCCTCCACTCTGTTCTTAGCTGGAAGGCAGCCGAATTGACTCAGCATAAAAGCTCATCTCTGGAAGCCAGGACAAGGTTGCAGAGAGCTTGAGCCGACTAACGCGAGATGCTGTTCCTAGGCAGGGGTGTGAGACCGTGTCTCCCCACAGAAGAGAGTGCCCTTCTTCAAAGGAGAAGGCTTTAAAAAGAATCCTCTGACCTTAAGGAGAACGGTTGTGGGGCCTGCGAGATCTTACAGCGGGGTAAGGCATTTGCCTTGCACATAGATGATTGGGTTCGAGTCTCAGCACTCCTATGGTCCCCCAGCCCCACCAGGAGTGATCCTTGAGTGCAGAGCCAGGAGTAAGCTCGGAGCACTGCTGGTGGGGCCCCCCCAAGCCAAAAACATTAAATAGAAGGGATGCCGAACAAGTGAGGTGCCCAGGGCAATCAAAACCCCTCAAGCTACTGAGCCTTTTGTGCACGGGAGAGGCAGGACAGATGGGCTGCTGGCCGCTGCGCCCTGGGTTAGAATGGACCTTGACCACATCTCAGATGGCTTTTCTTTGGCACCTTTCTACAGCTGGGACCAGACCAGGTTTGCTTGCCTTTTTATGCTATTTTATTTGGTAGAGGGTCTTGGGGGGTGGGGGGGGTCACATCCCGCATGCTCGGGGCTACGCCGGCCAGTTCTGGCTGTGCTCAGGAGACCATACGGTATCCGGGATTGAACCCGGGCCTCCTATAAGCAAAGCCTGCTGTGCTTTCGGGCCCCAACTCACCTTTCCAAGCAGTCAGTCTTAGTCTTGATTTTTTTTTTGGGGGGGGGGGGGGAGAGAAGTGCTTTTTGAGCCACACCCAGTGATACTCAGGGCTTACTCCTGGCTCTGCATTCAGGAACAACTCCTGGTGGTGCTCAGACCATATGGGATGCTGTGGATAGAACCCAGATAGGCTGTGTGCAAGGCAAACGCTGTACTGTTACTCCAGCCCCTCTTGATTTCTTCTCTTCTTTATCTTCCTCACAGCTAACCCTTTCTTAACAGTTTTCTCTGTAAATAAACCCAGAAGACCCTTTTTCATTTTAACTGCCTTCCGACTGGTCACTGGGGGAACAGAGCTAAGAGCTTCATCAGTGGGAAGGAGCAGAGCTGCCAAAGTCCAAAGGCCTCTTCTGCCACTTGATGCAGCCACCGTCTGTAACTTGCCCTGTTCAGCGGCCAGATGACAACAGAAGTGCACACAAATATCTCCTTTGGGCCCTAGTTAATTCTAGCCAGCCACCAAAAGCACTCCTGCCTTCGTTTTCACAGGCGAGTAAAGTGAGGCGGCCCTCAGAGTCCAAAACAGGTTTCTTGAGTTTCCTGCACAATGAGGTCAGCGCTGTCCCTTTCCAGTCCTTTTGTTCCACAGAGGCAGGGTAGCCCTCTCGTCAGCCCGTCTGCTCATCTCAGTAACACAATCCACCCTGTCACCAATCACCCTGAGCAGGTTAGATTCACCTCCGGATCCTCATCTACACTAAGGATGATGATTAATCACCAACTTAGCCCTGGTACCTGTTCAGCAAAGGTAGAGCCAGGTCTTTTGTTTTATGCTTTTTGTTTTAGGGGCCACATTCAGCTGGGCTCAGGGCTTACTCCTGGCTCTGCACTGTCACTGCCGGTGGCCTAAGCAGACCCTGGGTGGTGCTGGAGATTGAACCCGAGTTGGCTGTACGTAAGGCAAGTGACCTACCAACTGTACTGTCTCTCCGGCCCCAGAACCAGGTCTGTTTTGCTTACTTCTGTCTCCCTAGAGCCTCATGCAATAGAAAATCATTATTTCTTGAAAGAGCTAATACATGAAATTCGTAGTCTATTAGGGATATGGTAAAATGTTCAGTGTAATGAGAAAAGTCGGATTTGGAAGAGTGAGAAAAGCAGCAAATTGTTTTCATAATCATTAATGCACTATGTAAGGCTGACATTTATATGTTTTGAAGAATCTTCAGGGTTTAGTAAAATCTCTAGCAACAAAACATTTCCCTGCCCTCAGCTCCCTCGTCTTGGAATTAGCTGTGAGCGGGTCTATTCCCAGAACAGAGTCAGGCACAAAAGGTGACACGGGTTTGGTTGCAACAATATAAAAATATCTAGATTTGGGACCAGAGGGATAGTACAGTGAGTAAGGCATTTGCCTTGCACGTGGCCGACCTGGGTTTGGTCCCCTGGGCTCTGAACAGAGCCAGGAGTAACCCCTGAGCATTGCTGAGTGTGGCTGAAATCACTGAAAAACAAAATGTTCAGATTTATATAAATCCATAGAGCTGGAAAGCAGAGTTGGCCGCAGATGAAACTTAGTGGTACGTATGAAACCCTAGGCTCTATCTCCTGCACCACAAAAATAAAACCAAAGAGGAAGCCTATACCCCATAAATAATCAATTTCTCCCTATTGCCAGTTTCTGGCAACCAGTATGTTTTGTTGTTGTTGTTTTGGGGGGCACACCTGTCTGGACTCAGGCCTTACTCCTGGCTCTGTACTCAGGAATCACTCCTGGCACTCAGGGAATATATTGGATGCTGGGGATGGAACCCAGGTGGGCCACATGCAAGGCAAACACCCTATCTGCTGTACTGTCTCTCTGGCCCCATTAATCTATTTCTTATCTCTATGGATTTACCTATTCTAGATATTTTCTATCAACAAACAATACGAATTGCTATCTGGCTTCTTTCACTTAATATAATGATCATTCATCCAGGCGATAGCACATACTTCCTTGCTTACCACAGTCTGTAGCATTACATTACGTGTGTGTACCATGAATGGTTTATCCATTCATCCCGAGAGGCACGCACTCTACTGAGTGCATCCATCCAGCCCTTTTTTTTTTTTTTTTTTTTTTTTTTTTTTGCTTTTTGGGTCACACCCGGCAATGGACAGGGATTACTCCTGACTCTGCACTCTGCACGGAGGAGTTACTCCTGGCGGGGCTCAGGGGACCATATGGGATGCTGGGAATCGAACCTTCGCTGTGCCATCTCTCCAGCCCCAATCCCTCCCAGCCTATTTTTATAAGTTACTATAGTGATGCTAGTGGAAATGAAATGACTCCCCATTGTGGCTTTGATGATGTGCATTTCTAGTAACTAATGATGTGGAGCATCTTTACCTGTGCTTATGATTATTTTCTTTGGGTCTGTTTAAGCCTACCGCCACTTTAAACTTGTCATTGAGTTATGAATTTTTTAGGGAGGGGCGGAGAGGTGATTCACTGGTCTGAAGTGTATGCAGAGTGCATATGGGAAGGCTGGGTTCAGTCCCTGGTGCCAAACAGCCCCCTAAGCACTGCTGAGTGTGGCCTCAAGCCACAAAAAAAAAAAATTTCAGTTTCTCAGGAGTGAGCAATATTTTTAATGGAAGAGCCTGTGTAAGGCTTTGGGTTCTTAGAATGACCAATAAGCAATGAAAACAGCAGTTAAGTTTGCTACTTAAGTATCTTGTCTTTATTCATCTGTCTCAACCTTTCTCACAGGCCCGTTTATCCATAAGCCTGGAAAAGTGACTTTTTGTTTCTGGCAATTCTCATCACTTCCTCTTGCTTTCCTCAACCAGAAGACTGCCTGCACTCTCACTGGTGAAAAAAAATTACTGGGGAGTGGGGCGGGGGTGCTGTGGAGAGATAATACAGAGGCTAAGGTGAAGCCTTGCATGTAGCCAAGCCAGGTTGGATCCCTGGCACCCCAGATGGTCCCCCAAGCTGCACCAGGAGTGATCCCTGAGCACAGATGATGTAACTCAAAAACAAACAAAAGAATCAGGGAACAGAGCCCAAAGATAGCACAGGAGGGGCTGGAGGAATAGCACAGCAGGTAGGGCGTTTGCCTTGCATGCAGCCGACCCGGGTTTGATTCCCAGCATCCCATATGGTCCCCCGACCAGCATCCCATATGGTCCCCCGAGCACTGCCAGGAGCAATTCTCAAGAGCATGAGCCAGGAGTAATCCCTGTGCATCGCTGGGTGTGACCCAAAAAGGGGAGAAAAAAAAAAGCACAGGATTAGGTGAAGCACATGCTTTGCGTGAAGCTGTTCCTATTCCAGTCCCCAACCACCAGGAGTGACTTCTGAGCAGCATCAAGAGTAGCTCCTGTGCACTGCCGCTGTGTGGCCCAAAGACCCGCTTCCCTGCCAAAAAAGATGATAGCTTCCCGAGAACCATCTGATTGAGGTAAACTGGCAAGAAGCAATTCCCAGGAGAGTCGCTACGCAAACCCAAGAAGCAAAACGGGAATTGGAAACCACAGTGAAGACCCAGGAGAATTGGAAAGTGCACCACAGCTTGCAACGTCCCATTTGGAGCAAGGAGATATAATCAAGCAAGTGCAAAGTCTTCCCCGGCGGGGGGACTGCAGTCTTCACTCCAGGTGAATTTGCTAGAGGTGGTCCTGCATCCAGGCAGGCTTTCCTCCTCAGCAAAGAGATAGAGGCGGAGCCCTAGAAAAACACTCTTAGATATCCTTGGACCTCACCTGTTCCCACACTTCTGGGGGCCTCCCAGTCAAGAGGGGGCAGGTGAAGCATGCACCCTCCTGGTCTGGGATGGAAGGAACTAATCTGGTTCTTTGGGTAGTTTTTTGTTTTGGGGGCCACGCCCAGCGATGCTCAAGGCTTACTCCTGGCTCTTTGCTCAGGGATCACTCCTGACAGTGCTCAGGGGACCTTATGGGATACCCGGGATCAAACCCGGGTCGGCCACGTACAAGGCCTTACTTGCTGCACTCTCGCTCCAGCCCCCTCAAATCTGTTTATCAGGTCCCAGCTGCTACTGCTGAAAGTGGTGCACAGACCACACTGAGAAATCACACATCCGGCCACCTCTGTACCAGCACAAAACAAAACACTGCTTGCACCCCAGGAATAGCACATCCCTAGTCCTCAACCCTCAGGAGACCTCGGAGTCTTGCTCAGCCCTGTGCCCTCTCAAGACTGATCCCTAGCCCTGTCCCCCTCCCCTGCCCAAAGGAAAGGAATAAGGACCAGCAGCAGTGGCTTCACCTTATAAGCACTTGGTTTTATTGCACAGAAGCAATTGAAAGTGGACGCCAGTGGAAAAGTTTGCCCTGGCATGACTGAGTGGCCAGAGCCCCGCCCCACCTGCTCCGGCGCTTCCCAGGATGGAGAGCTCTGGGCAAGGGCTCCGATCACTCCTTTGGAAAACAGAAGGCATTTGGGAATAGGTTAAGACATCTCAAGCATAATGTGTTTCTAACTGCTCATTCATGATTGCGGTCACCTGTCAGTTGCACACACAGGAAATAAATGCACTTATTTGGAAAGGAAGGGGCCAGCTGTGCAGTCAAGTATTTTCGTGGGCCATTCAATATACAGCACATTCAGCTACCTAAGCTATCATATTTGTCCATCGGCCAGGGGAGAGTTTGGGGCAGGGGGGTAAGGGGTAAGGTGGGGGAGGGGGGCTGTCCTCTCTTGCTAACATATTGCTAAAATAGAAATTCCTGTTTGGTGAGCGAGGGCCCCATCAGCTAAGCAGACTCTGTCCTGACTTGACGACGAGGAAGAAGAAAAAGATGAAAATTCATTCCGTCAACCCTTGAACTCTCGGCCCTCGTGAGTGTCTTTGGCTATTCTGCTTGTGCCTTGCTCCCGGCCTTACTTTTCCCCTTTCGTGGCCTTGTCTTCTGGGGCCTTCTCTGGGGGCCTGCTGTCTCTCTGGTCTGTGCTGGAGGATTTCTCGGCCTTTTCCGTCTTGCCTTTGCTGGGCTCTTCCTTGCCTTGGGCCTCTGTTTTGGGCTTCTCCTCAGGCTTCTTGGCCTCGGGGGCCTTCTCCTCCTTGGACTCCTTTTGCCCTGAGGTGACTGGTGTCTCTTCCCGCTTTGGCTTTTCCGGCTCCTTCTCAGCCGCTTTGCTGACCTCTTTGGCCTTGGTGTCTTCCGGTTCCCTCTTGGCCTCCTCAGCCTTCTCCTTGGGTTTGGCGTCTTCTTTCGCCTTGGCGGGAGCCTCCTTCTCAGGAGTCACTGCCTTTTTCTTCTCTTGGGCCTCCTCCTTCTTGACTTCCACCTTGGCTTCTTGGGGCTGTTCCCCAGCAGGTTCCTTCTTCTCTCCCTCTGGCTTGGCAGCCTCCTTCTTGGGCCCCTCGGCTTTTGCACCATCCTTCTCCTCAGTTTTTGGTGCGGCTGGCGCTTTCTCTTCCTTCTTTGGGGGTTCTTTGGCTTTCACCTCCTCCTCCTTCGTGGGGGACTTGGCCTCTGCTTTCTTTGGGACCTCCTTCTCAGGCGCCTTGGCCTCCTCCTTCTCTGGAGATTTGGCCTTCTCTTGGGATTTCACCTCCTCTGTGACAGGGCTTTTGGCTTTCTCAGGGGACTTAATGTCTGCAGGAGACCTCACTTCCTCCTTCACTACCGTCTTAGTTTCTGGAGACTTCACATCAAGAGTCTTGGCCTTTATGGGGGACTTGGCTTCCTCCTTCATTGGGGACTTGGCCTTCTCAGGGGACTTGGCCTCTTCTTTCTCTGGGGTCTTGGCCTTCTCAGGGGACTTGATCTCCACAGGGGATTTGGCCTTCTCAGGGGTCTTGGCCTCTTCTTTCTCTGGGGTCTTGGCCTTCTCAGGAGACTTGGCCTCCACAGGGGATTTGGTCTTCTCAGGGGACTTGGCCTCTATAGGGGACTTGGCCTTCTCAGGGGACTTAGCCTCCACAGGGGATTTGGTCTTCTCAGGGGACTTGGCCTCTACAGGAGACTTGGCCTTCTCAGGGGACTTGGCCTCTTCTTTCTCTGGGGTCTTGATCTTTTCAGGGGACTTGACTTCTGGTGGGGACTTGGGCTTCTCAGGGGACTTGGCCTCTTCTTTCTCTGGGGACTTGGCCTTCACTGGGGATTTGACCTCCATGGGGGACTTGGCCTTCTCAGGAGACTTGACTTCCAGTGGGGACTTGGCCTCTTCTTTCTCTGGAGCCTTGGCCTCCACAGGGGACTTGGCCTTCTCAGGGGACTTGGCCTCCACAGGGGACTTGGCCTTCTCAGGGGACTTGGCCTCCACTGGGGACTTGGCCTTCTCAGGGGACTTGGCTTCTTCTTTCTCTGGGGACTTGGCCTTCTCAGGGGACTTGGCCTCTTCTTTCTCTGGGGACTTGGCCTTTTCAGGGGACTTGATTGCAGCTGGCGATTTTGCCTCTTCTTTCATGGGGGACTTAGCCTTCACTGGTGTCCTCACCTCAGGAGGCAATTTTGCTTCCTCCTCTGGTGACTTGGCCTTCTCTGGGGACTGCACCCCAGCAGGGGACTTGGCTTCTTCTTTTACTGGGGACTTGGCCTCCTGCTCAGTCTCTTCTGCTGGGGGAGATTTCTCGGCTTCTCCTCCTTCTGCTTCCTCCTCCTCTTCCCCTTCTTCCTCTTCCCCCTCTTCCTCTTTGGCCTCTTTCTCCTCTTCTTCAGTCACTTCTTCAGTTACCTGGATCTCCTCTGTCTGTTCCTCCACAATCACAGTTTCCTTCTCTGACTTTTCTACCACTTTGATCATCTCTTCACTTTTGACCTTTATGTGAGTAGTTGCGGAGGGGATTTTGGGGAGTCCTTCTGGAAGGGAGAAAGGACTTGGACCAAAGCCTATCCGGCACTCTTCACCCTCCAAGAGTTTCCTGCAGAATGGAGAACAGAACATTTTGCTCTCAGTATTTTGGCCCACACCTAGTGACACGCAGGGTTTACTCCTGACTCTTTGCTCAGGGCTCACTCCTGGTAGTGCTCAGGGAACCAGATGTCAGGGTGGGGGATCAACCAGGATCAAACCAGGGTCAGCTGCACATAGGTAAGTGTCTCAGCCTCTGAACTATCTCTCCAGCCCCAGAATATTTTACTGTCAACTCCAAGCAAATGGTTGAACTTGGGGTCTTCTTGAGCTCCTCTGAAGGTCGACAGCATGCAATGACATGGGCGTCAGCAGAGAAGAAATGTGAATACTGGGCACTTTCACAGTAGGGCAAGTCACCTAGCAGAGAACCCCAGAGACCATGGATAATCTGAACCCCACTGGCATCACTCATGTTTAATGCAGCTTGTAAAACAAAACAACCTTCTCCCAACCCTCACAGAAAACTGCCCCCAAAGAATTTCTACATTAATGAAAATCCTACTACTGTTCCCCCAACTAAAATGACATTCAAGAAAGTTGGGAACACATAGTTCCACCTTTACACATTTGGGTTTAAGGCCGGAGTGATATGGAGTGATAGTACAACAGGTAGGGTGCTTGCCTCGCATACCACTGACCCAGGTTCGAAATGCTGAACCACACATGATTCCTTGAGTTCACCCGGTGCCAGGAGTAAGCCCTGAGCACTCAAACTTGGATTTGATATCTCTTAAAAGGTTCCTTTTAAATGTCAAGGTCTCCTGCCACCTCTTCTTTATTCCTTAGTTTTAGAAATAGGGAGGTGAGGACAGTTTCCACTTTTTGCAATTTACTGGGTATGTGACTTTCAGCAAGCCAAACTTTCTATTCTCATACTCAGGAGCCTCTCCTGGCAGTTTTCAAGGGATCAGATGTAATGTCTGAATTTGAGAAAAATACCTTTGTACTATCTTTCTGGGCCCTGAGCCAAACTTTTCTTTTTTTTTTTTTTTTTTGCTTTTTTTTTTCTCTTTGGGTCATACCCAGAGATGCACAAGGGTTACTCCTGGCTCTGCTCTCAGAAATTACCCCTAGCAATGCTCAAGGGACCATATGGGATGCTGGGAATCGAACCTGGGTTGGCCGTGTGCAAGGCAAATGCCCTACCTACTGTGCTATCGCTCCAGCCCCCCTGAGCCAAACTTTTAAAGCGTCAGTTTCCTCACTGGCAAAAGAGGATCATAGGGTAGTTTTAATGAGATAAGGAATGAAAATTATCAGGTAGAGCCTCCATCAGAGGAGGTGCCACGGCAATCCCGACCTCACGCTGTTCTATGCCGGGGAACTGGCTCCACAGCAGAGCAGTTGCTTTGCATGTGTAAGGTCCCAGGTTGCATTCCCAACACGGCCAAAAATCCAAGACAGAAATGCACTCAAACGGCCTGGTATCAAATGCAGATTTTGATTAGTAGGTCTGGGCTGAGGTTACCTTTTATTTTTATCTTATTTTACGTTCACACTCCATAGCAGTCAGAGATAACTCCTGGCTCTTTGCTCAGAAGTCATCACTCCTGGCGCCCCTGACCTCGCTGGGACTCGGAGAGTTTATGGGTGCCACAGATCAAAGCCGCATGCAAGGCAAGTGCCCTAGCTGCTGTACCTTCTCTCTGGCCCCAAGTCTGCCTTTTAGTGGGCTCCCGGATGATCCTTACTACGCTAGTTCACTGAACATGTTTGAGAGTCCAGACTACAAGACTAGAACAAGACGTGGCAAACGTAGAATCACCAGTCAGCACCTCGGACAGTGCCTCCTGTGTCATCCAGCCTCTTGAGCAAAAACCTGCTGAGTTGGGGGGTTTCATGGCTTTCTCAAGGCTTCCACTTCCTCAGGACTTTTCTCTGGGCAGCCCAGGGCTCCCTGCATTAGTTGGGGGTCAGCTCATAGGTGGGATCAGCACCTTTCCCCCACACCACCTTCTTGGAGTTACTATTATCATCCTCTCCATTATAGGGGAAACCAAACCAGATTATCATGCTCAACAGCTAAGAAACCCTGAGACACAGGGACAGTTGAAAAGTTCCCTGAAAACTCAGGTACTTTTGTTTCCTCCAAAGAAAGCCTTTGACTGGCTTAACAATGACTTAACACTAAGTCATTGTCCAAATGAAAGATGATGCTTAAGATTCTTGACTTGGTAGGACCACAGAGACAGTACAGCGGGTAAGGTACTTGTTCTCCATGCAGCCAACATGGTTCAACCCCAACACTCCATATGGTCCCTGAGCCCCACCAGGAGAAAACCCTGAGAACTTCTGAGGGTGGCCCCAAAAGAAAACAAAAATTTTTGTCTTGGGCCAGAGAGATAATAGAGGGGTAACATGGTTGCCTTGCATATTCAACCCCGGTTCAATTCCTGGCACCAGGGCTGGAGCAGTAGCACAGCGGGTAGGGTGTTTGCCTTGCACGTGGCTGACCCGGGTTCGATTCCCAGCATCCCATATGGTCCCCTGAGCACCGCCGGGAGTAATTCATGAGTGCATGAGCCAGGAGTAACCCCTGTGCATCGCTGGGTGTGACCCAAAAAGAAAAAAAAAATTGTGACCTGCACCATCTGGCCTCTTCCTGGCCTGAAGCTGAGGTGGGGTTAGAACCTGGTTTGTCCAGACCCATACCTTAGGCACGAGCCCTTCTACTGGTGGGAATGAAATGAGTCCCTGAGCCTCAAGGTCACACTCCGAGCCAAAGCCCAGGCTTCTAGCCTTCCTTGCCTTCCTTGGCTGGGAGGGATTGGGGCTGGAGCGATAGCACAGCGGGTAGGGCATTTGCCTTGCACGCAGCCGAGGGGTAGATTCCCAGCATCCCATATGGTCCCCTAAGCACTGCCAGGAGTAACTCCTGAGTGCAGAGCCAGGAGTAACCCTTGTACATCACCATATGTGACCCAAAAAGCAAAAAAAAAAAAAAAAAAAAAAAACCCAAAAAACAATTCCTGGCACCAGACATGGTCCTCTGAGTTACCACTAGGGGTCAATTCTGAGTACAGAGTGAGGAACACTCCCCAAACATGGCAAAAAGAAAAAGAAAAAAGAGCTCCACCCCCCAAAAGAAAAGATATCTGCTTCTCAGAAAGCAAAATGATGGTTGCAAGAGAAGGGACTGAGAAGTTTCTATTTAAGGTGCAGAGTTGCAGATTGGGAAGATGGAAAAAGTTCTAGAGATGATGGTGGAATGGTCACAACAGTGGTATAAATGTGCTAAAGCGACTGAATAGCAAACACCTGCATGCCCTAGGAATTGGCTCTAGGGGCCTAATACATGTAGGTCAGGCATGTGCCGTACCGCTGAGCTGTATCCTGGCTTGAATCGCAATTTTCAGTTTTGTTTTGTTTTGGCGGGGGGGCTATGCCCAGTGATGCTCGGGTTACTCCTGGCTCTGGAATCAACCCTGGTGGTGCTTGGGGGACCATATGGGATGCTGGCGATTGAGCCTGGGTTGGCCGTGTGCAAGACAAACGCCCTCCGCGCTATCCTATTGCTCCAACTCCTGAGTCATAACTTTAAAATTGTTAAATGAGGGCTGGAGAGACAGTACAGCAACTAAAGCACGTGCCTCGCACACAGCGGACCTGGGTTCGATCCCTGGCACCCCACAGGTCCCCCAAGCACTACCAGAAGTGATCCCTGAATGCAGATCCAGGAGTAGGTCCTGAGCGCAGCTGGGTGTGCCTTCCCCAAACCCCCAGAAATAATAAAAATAGTTAAATGGGGGCCAGAGAAATGGTACAGGAGTAAAGTGCATGTCATGCACATTACCATCACTGGCTCAATCCCTGACACTGCATACGATCCCCTAGAACTCTGCCCTGAACACAGAGCACTGAGCACAGGAGTAACCCATGAACACCACCCAAAAATCAAAGAAAATAAATAAAAATAATTAAATGGGCCTGGGAGATAACGCAATGTGTCTGTGTCAAAGAACATGCTTTGCATTTAGAAACCTTGGGGTTTATTTCCTAGTACCACATGGACCCCAGAGCATCTCCAGAACCCCAAAGTACTGAGGAGGTAACAAGCCCCCCCCAACAATGCCAGGCGTACCCTTCCAAACAACAACATCAAAACCCACTAAAATGGCTAGATGGTAAATTTTGTTTCATTTTGGGGTCATACCCAGAGGTACTCAGGGCTGACTCCTGGATCTCTGCTCACAAATCAGTCCTGGTGGGGCTCAAGGATACATATGGGGTACAAAGGGTTGAACCCAAGTTGGCTGTAAACAAGGCAAGTGCCCTACCACTGTACTATTGCTCCAGCCCCTAGACAGTAAATCTTATGAGATCTACCTTTTCCAACTCAAAAAAAAGACTTTTGACTTTTTTTTTTTTGGCTTTTTGGGTCACACCCAGCGATGCACAGGGGTTACTCCCAGCTCTGCACTCAGGAGTTACATCTGGCAGTGCTCAGGGGACCATATGGGATGCTGGGAATCGAACCCAGGTTGGCTGCATGCAAGGCAAACGCCCTACCCACTGTACTGTCACTCCAGCCCTGATTATTTTTTATTTTTGCTTTTTGAGTCACACCTTGTGATGCACAGGGGTTACTCCTGGCTCTGCACTCAGGAGTTACTCCTGGCGGTGCTCAGGACCATATGGGATGCTGGGAATCGAACCCAGGTCGGCCGTGTGCAAGGCAAATGCCCTACTCGCTGTGCTATCTCTCCAGCCCCCCAGCCCTGATTTTTGACTCTTAAGACAGGCACAATGCCTCTCAAGCTTTGAACCCCAAGACCGATGTCCTCATATGAACATCAGGATCCTCACCCCTGGAGCCCCAGACTTGCCCACCTGTAGGCAGCAATCTCGATGTCCAGAGCCATCTTGACATTGAGCAGATCTTGGTACTCTCGGAGTTGGGCCGCCATCTCCCACTTAGTGCTCCTCAGCTCACTGTCCAGCTGCTGGATGGCATCCTGGGGAGAAGAGGCACACACCCGTCACACACCAGCCAACACTGCATGGACCTGGAGATCACCTACAGCCAAGGTCCAGCTGTGCATGTGATCTCGGGGGCCAGAGTCTGGAATGAAACACACCACCTGCCACCAACAGTTATCACCGATTGATGGGATGATGGGTGAGGTGTCTTGTTTTTCACTTCAGCCATGCTCAGGGGACCCACATACAAAGCCTGTCCTCCAGCCCCCTGAGTCATCGCCCCAGCCCTGTTTCTGCACATCCCTTAAAATAAGAAAATACTCAATGGGAACTGTTCTCTCTGTGCTCCACAGTGCCCACCTCAGAGCTGGAGCGGTAGCACAGTGGGCAGGGCATTTGCCTTGCATGCGTCCAACCCAGGTTTGATCCCTGGTATCCAACATGGTCTCCTGCGCACCTCCAAGAGTGATCCCTGAGCACTACCTGGTGTGGTCCAAAATTAAGTTTAAAAAGGGGGGCGGGGCTGGAGCAATAGCACAGTGGGTCAGGGTTTTTGCCTTTTATGCGGCCGACCCGGGTTCGATTCCCAGCATCCCATATGGTCCTCTGAGCACCACCAGGAGTAATTCCTGAGTACAGAGCCAGGAGTAACCCCTGTGCATCACCAGGTGTGACCCAAAAAGAAAAGAAAGGGGGGGGGCTAGAGTGATAGTACAGTAGGTAGGGCATTTGCCTTGCACACAGCTGACCCCGATTCACACTCTGGCATTCCATACAGTACCCTGAGCACTGCCAGGAATAATTTTTTAAAGATTCTTTTTATTGAACCACTGTGAGATTCAATAACAAACGTTCATGATTAAGTTGTGAGTCACAGAATGATCAAGCACCCATCCCTCCACCAGTGCTCATTTTCCACCACCAGTGTTCCCAGTGTCTCTCCCACCACCCCCACCCCATCCGACCCCCTACCTCTGTGGCAGGCTCCTTCCTTCTTACTCTCTCTCTCTCTACTTTTGGGCATTATGGTTTGCAATACAGATGCTGAGAGGCCATCAATTTTGGTCCTTAGTCTACTTTCAGCATGCATCTCCCATCCCAAGTGATCCCTCCATCACTTACTTAGTGGTCCCTTCTCCATCCTAACTGCCTTTTCTCCCAGCACGAGGCATGCTTCCAAACCGTGGAACAATCTTTGCCAGGAATAATTTCTGAGAGCAAGGAGTAACCCCAGAGCACCAGAAGGTATGATCAAAACGAAAAATAATCCCCTCAAAAAACAAAGTTCTGGGGCCTGAGTGATAGCATGGCCATAGAGGGCAGTTGCCTTGCACATGGCTAACCTGGGTTCAATTCCCAGGATCCCACATGGTCCCACAAGGCCGCCAGGAGTACGCCCTGAGTACTACCTGTGTGAACCACAAAATGAAACAAAACAGTGCTCATCCCATGGTAAGAGCTCAAAAGCATCTATTATTGATGACAGAAAATACTTAAAGGATGTTCAGTATGAATTAAAGCCCTACCCAAACCCAAGCCCACTGGAACCACAGCTTAAAGTGAACCATTATGGCTGATTTTGGGGGTTTTTGCCTTCTTTTTTCGATAATCACCACAAATTATTTGCACAGGAAGTTCTTTAAAAGCGATATTCTTGCTTTCTGCAGTGGGACTGCTGGGGGATCCTGGCGAGGCTGAAAATGTTGGATTCCTTAAAGATCCTCAATAGAATGCCTTATTTCCCACCACTCCTCCCCCAAAGTGATCTTCCTATTTTGTCTGTTGTCTTTTTCCCTTTTGCTTTTGGGGGCCATGCCCACTGTTGCTGCAGACTGCTCCGAGCTCAGTGCTCAGACGTTGCTCCTAGTAGAGGTACAGAGGGATCATGTGATGCCAGGGACTGGCCCTGGGCCTCTTGCATGCAGTCTGTGCTCCAGCCTACTGAGCCATCTCACTGGCCCTCAGCTGGCTTTAACAGGGGGATCTGTCCCGCCTGCCCAGGCTCCCGACTCACTCACAGACTCTGGCTACTGTTTACAGAGTACCCCAGAGTCCCTCCCTCCCTTTCTTTTTCCCTTCCTTCCCTTCCCTTCTCCTTTTTTTTTTCGCTTTTTGGGTGACACCTGACAACGCACGGGGGTTACTCCTGGCTCATGAACTCAGTAATTACTCCTAGCAGTGCTCGGGGGACCATACTGGATGCTGGGACTCGAACCTGGGTTGGCCGCGTGCAAGGCAAATTGCCCTACCCACTGTGCTATCGCTCCAGTCCCCCTTTCTCCTTCTTTCTTGCCCTTTCCTCCCCCATCCCCTTCCCTCTCCCCTTTCTTTCTAGTGCTGGGGATCAAACTCAGGGCCTTAACAGACAAGACCAATGCTCTACCACTGAGTCACATTCCCAGACTGTTTCTATGTACAGAAGTCACTCCTGGAGGTGCTTGGGGGACCATAGCAGGGGCCAGGGATCAAACTGCTGATCCCAGTTTTCACAGAAGGCAAGTGCCTTACCCCCACACTGGTTCTCTATCCTCTCTCTCTCCCTCCCTCTGTCTCTGTGTCTCTGTGTCTGTCTCTGTCTGTCTGTCTGTCTGTCTGTCTCTCTCTCTCTCGCTCGCTCGCTCGCTCGCTCGCTCGCTCTCCCATCATGGCACTGAAAGTCTTCAGATTCAGGGCTGGAGAGATAGTAAGGCACTTGCCTTCCATGAGGCCAACCCCGGTTTGATCCCTACACTACACGGTTCTCCAAGGGCTGTGGGAAGTAAGCCCCCAAGAATGGAGCTCAAAAGAGACCCTGAGCACTGCCAGGTGTGGCCTAAACCCCCTCCCCACACCAAAACAAGAAAGAAATTCCAAGAGGCAGGGGTTCTCTAGCACCCCTGTTTTGTCTGACTCCAAGGACCATGGCTGTGAGCACTGTCAGCCTGCGCCAAGGGGCAGAGACCAGTGCAGCAACGGGGCCGCAGCGACAGCACAGCGCCGAGGGCGCTTGCCTTGCACGCGGTTGACCTGGGTTCAATGCCTGGCATCCCATACCGTCTCCCAAACCCACCAGGCATGATCCCTGAGCTCAGCCACTGAGCAGCTGCCCATGGGCCCTCCCTGGCTCACCTGGTAGGAGGCGATGTCTGCCTGGTGCCTGTCTTCCAGGTCTGAGCGCTGCCTTTCCAGCGAGTCCTTGGTGCCTTTGAGCGCCTCCAGCTCTGTGGTCCGAGCCTGCAACTGGCGCCGATACTCCATGATCTCCTCCTGCGCGGAGCGCATGGCATCCGTGTTCACCTTGGCTGCCTCTGACAGGCGATCCAGCCGCACTGGGGGATAAGAGAGGGGGAGTGTCAGACACACCTAGATCTGGGTTCTCGGGCTCCTGTGGGAGGTGACCTCACATCAGTTGTGCTCCAGACACTGGGGATACTCACTTACCCTGCTCTCGAGAAAAAAGGGTTTCCATTGCCTGGAGTCCTCAGCAGGGGGCAAGTGCTGGGATTTTTCTTTCTTTCTCTTTCTTTCCTTTTCCTTTTCTATTTTGGGCCACACCTGGAGATGCTCAGGGTTTGTTCCTAGCTCTGTGCTCAGGAATTATTCCTGGCTGGCCTGGGGGACTATATGGGCTGCTGGGAACAGAACCCTGGTTGGCCATGTGCAAGGCAAGCACCCTACCCACTGTGCTCTCTGGTCCCAAAGATCAGGTTGCTTCCCCTTTAAGGAACTGGAAATGCTGCAGAGCAGAGGAAATGCCCCCCCTTTTTTTGCAGGGATGGGGGACACACATCCAGCAGTGCTAAGGGTTTACTCCTGGCTCTACGCTATTGGAAGGGCCCAGGGTACCATATGGGATGCCAGTGATGGAACCCAAGTCAGCACCAGTCACTGCAATCTCTCCGTGTCCGGAAGCCCCTGTGTCCTAGAAGGTCGGCAGTGCTGCGCAGGGTCTGGACGCAAAACCTGGTCACAGGGCTTGGGGTTTGAGCCTGTGACCTTCAGAGGCACGAGGTGCTGTGAGCAATCAGGTCAGCACGGAGCCACAGTCCCTTCCCTGGAGGCTTCTGTGGAGTCCAAGGTCACGCTGTGGCAGGCGGCTCCTCTGCCCTGTCCTCTACCTGGCTGCGCCTTCTCTAGCAGAGGGACCCCCTGAGCTGCCAATAGTCACCCTGACTGCCAATGCGATGAGGCTGCTTGTTCCCAGAAGACCTTCAGTAGGGGCCTGGAGACTAGCCTAGTCCTGAACATGAACACCGTGGATCCTGGGAGAATGACCCCAGGTCCGGGACCCGGGAAGGAAGCAGAGAAGCTGGGGATGAGTGGGGAGTGGAAAAGAAGTCCTGGGGTGGCTGCCAGCATAAAGAGACGCAAAGAGCAAAGGGGTGCCCTGGGAGAAGCCTTGCTGCAGAGAGGGGGAGGGGACCTCTCAGCAGCTGCAGAGGACAGAGAAGGACAAGAAAAGCCGCATGTCCCAGCCCTGGTCGTCCCTGCTTCCCCTGCTGGCACTGCTGGAAAGAAGAAATCTTCCTGGTAAGGATTTTTTACCCACTGAACAATGTTGAAGCTTCAGCACACGCCCCACTCCCACCCGCCAGTTCAGAAGTCTCCCGGTGGGCTTGGGAAAGATCAGGAGCCGCCCAGCGGGGGCCACCTCCCTTTTTCAACACAAAAAAAGAGACGGGGGACAGTCGCTGCGCACAGCTTGAGCTGCTGCAGCACGAGCTGACTTGGAGTGGGGGGAGGGCGGAGTGGCGGGGAGGAAGGGGCAGTGTTAGAAGGGTCCCAGCTCCTGTGAGGTGGGGGGCATCCCTGGGCGCATGGGGCAGCAGCCCAGATACTCAGTCACTGGCGGTGGGGAGGAAGCAGGCGAGAGGCGCTTCCCTGCACGCAGCTGGGAGGACCGTGAGGCGCAAAACGAGAACGGGGTTCCCAGAACGGGGTCCGCACACTGAGCAGAGGAGGGCAGAGATCCTCATGCACCTGACCGGGAGCCTCGCGGGTTGCTCGGGAGCTCCGGACGGGACCTGACTTCACTGCATCGCGGAGGGAAGCAGAGAGCCAGAGAGCAGGACCCCGCCCCGCCCGCCCCCCACGCCGGCGCCGCGCCCACCTCGGAACCACTCCTCCGACTGCAGCGTGCTCTGCACCGCGTGGCCCTCGAGCTGCGCGCGGATCTCGCGCAGCGCCGACGTCACGTCGCACTTGAGGGCGTCGCGCGCCTCGGCGTGCGCCTGCGCCTGCGCCGCGCCGCAGCCCTGGATCTGGCCGAGCAGCTCGCCCACCTCCTCCTGGTGCTGGCGCCGCAGGTAGCCGCACTCGTCCTGCAGCGCCTGCGCCTTCTTCTGCAGCTCGGCGCGCGCCGCCTCGGCCTCCTGCGCGAAGCGGGCGAGCGCGCGCGCCGCCGCCTCGGCCTCCTCGCGCTGCCGGGCCTCGTCGTCCAGGCGCTGGCGCACGTGCGCGATGTCCTCCAGCAGGTGCTCCTGCTCCAGGCGCAGCTGCCCGCGCGCCGCGCCCAGCCGCAGCACGGCGCCGCGCATCTCGCGCACCTCGCGCTCGTACAGCTCGCCCATGGCCGCGCGGCCCGCCTGCTGCTGCCGCAGCGCCGCCGCCTCGCCCTCCAGGCTGCGGTTGTGCGCCTCGAGCTGCAGCACCTTGTCGATGTAGACGGCGAAGCGGTCGTTGAGCGCCTGCAGCTGCTCCTTCTCGCTGCGCGCCGCCGCCGCCGCCGCCGCGCAGCCCTCGGGCCCGTTGCTCAGCGTGTCCAGCGAGTCGGTGCTGGAGGCGGCGGCCGCGGCGCGGAAGCGGCCGGCGGAGGCCGACGCGGAGCTCGCGGACGTCCGCGCCCACGAGTGGAAGCCGCTGGACGAGCCGGCGGCCGAGCGCGCCGCGCCCTTGCGGCCCAGCGCGAAGTGCAGGCCGCCGCCGCCGCCGCCGCCCAGCAGCGGCCCGAACGGGGCGCCCAGGAGCGCGTCGGCGCCGCCGAAACTCATCATCGTGCCGGAGCAGGTGCGCGGCCGGGACGGAGCGGGCGGCACTGCGGCAGCGCCGGCGCGCGGGCCCTTTTATAGCGCGCCCGGCCGGCCCGGCCCCTCGGCGCCCGGGGGGCGGGGGGGCCGGCCCGAGCGGCTCTCGCCGCCGCCTCCCCCACCCTCTGCCCCGGCCCGGCTCCGCCGCAGTGGGCGGGGCGGGGCCGAGGGGTTACGGAGCGCGCGGGGAGGGACTCTGCCTGCCGGATCCCCCCCCCCGCAACCCGGCTCAGGGCTGGGGCCGGGACCAGTCGGGGGAGACCCTGGGTGCGGAGTGCACGCTGAGAGAAGGGGCTCGGGACGCGGAGAGGGCACCTCGCGGAGGGGGAAGGGGGAGAGGGAGCCCGTGAGAGTCTGCGGAGTCAGCAGGATGCCGGGACCCCGGTGCGGCAGGAGAGGGAGCGCGAGCGAGCGAGCGCGTCCTGGGAGTTGGAGAGGACTTCGGGATGGGGGGCTGCGGGTTGCAGGGGAGGGAGCGGGAGATAACGGAAGCGGTGGACGCCCGGGAGGCAGAACCAGGACCTCTTACCGAGGTCCACGGCACCCCTGTAGCCACACGGGAAACTCGGCAGCCTTTGGAGTGGAGGGGATGGCAAGCCGACTCTGATGAGGGGTACCGGAGAGGATGGAGAGTAAAGCCCACCTGGGGGTACGAGGGTTCCCAAGAAGCTTAGAGTTGCACACAACGGTAGGAGGCAAGAGACCTCCCCTCCCCAGTACATAAGGCAGCAGGTTCCCTCCGTATGGCTGTGAGGGTCAGAGAACCCAGGCAGGGGCACTGTGTTGGGGGTGGAGGGTGACTGTGGGCGCCCCAGAAACTCAGACCAGGGTCTGCCGGCTGAGGTCAGCCAAGTGACCTTGAACAAAAGGCGTTTCCCCCTCCCACCCACAAACTCCCCCCACTCCATCCGGAGAGGGGTCTTGCCCTGGGACAGGCTACCCCTCGGACCCTCGGTTCTGCTTTGAAGGCTCTTTTCTGGAAGTGGCAGAGCACGGGGGACCCACATGCTGCTGGTAGAAGTTCATTTACTCTCCCTCCCTGTTCCCCCGGCTGCCGCTTATCATGCCCCGCCCCCAGTCATGGGCTGCTTTTCCCCCTACCCACGGAAGTGCGGATGCTCTGGGGGCATTGAAGCTCTTCACTCCCATCTTTCAGGGCTTTATGCAGAAAAGGGTCCCTAGGCTGTGGGGGCGCTGAAGGAGTTGGAGTTTTTCAGCTTTCTCTGGGTTCTGGCTCTTGGTGGGGGTGCTGATAGGGTGGCCGGGTTTCAGCACCAGGGACAGCGCCTGCTCCACAGTGCCGGAGAAAGGGGGTCCTCTCCTCCGTCATTTTCTTGCTGTGCAGGAGGGAAGTATGCCCTGCCTCACGCCTGTGCCGCCTGTGCCATGTTCCCGGAGACCCAACCCCCTGACTTTCTATAGGGGTTAGCCCCCTTTTCTGTGAAGTTCTGAACGTGCTCAAGTGACTGCCATAAGGACCCTGAGGGGCTGTGAAACAGGGGGACCCCACTGGGGAGTCCGGATAGAGATCTCAGATCTGAGTTTCTCTGGGAGCGACTCAACCCCCACTTAACTCCAGGTTCACATGCATTTACTTCAATGGGGTCTCCAAGATAGGAGCAGATAGACCCCCCGCCACACACACACACACACAGAGCTCTGTCAGTTCTTTCCTCTTTGCCCCATTCTATCCACACACCACCCCGCTGTTCCAGGCAGAGAACAGTAAGGGGGCTTGAGAGTGCTCTGCCCCTTAACCACGGCTTCCTGGGAGGAGGGGGAAGGGAGGCTCTGGATTTGCATGGAGAAGCAGAACATGATGAAGCATTTTTCACCCCGTTTAAAGACCCAGCTATGCTCCACATTGCGGGGTAGGGGCAGAGGGACTGCTTCGGCTTGTTGAGGGGAAGACAGAAGTGAGTAGCTGGTTGAAGTTTTGAGAATAGCCTTGGGGAGGGGACAGTGTAGGTCCCCCCTTGCACCCGCAGGGCCCCCCCACCCCCATCTACTTTTCATTCTGCTTGGACTTTTGCCATCAGAACCGTGTTCCTTTAGGTCTTTCCGTTCATCTGCAGAATGCAGATACCTCCTGGGGGTATTGGCAGCCTGACAAGCACTGGGAGGGGAAAGGTCAAGATGGGTTCTGCTGAGTGAGGGCCCATAAAGCTGGTGTTGGGGCCCACAGGGCACAGATGGCAAGAAGCCAGGATTCCAAGATGCCCCCAGAATGCTTTGTATGGCTGGAAAAGTACTATGAGGATGAGAACCCTGAAGTGAGGTTTTCCATAGGACCCCAGGCTACCCTCCTAAAAACCATCCCGGGATCCCCTCATAAAACCATCTCGGGCTCCCCTCCTTAAAACCATCCCGGGATCCCTTTATAAAACCATCCCAGGCTTCCCTCCTAAAAACCCTTCCAGGGTCCTCTTCTAAAAACCCAGACTTCCCTCCTAAAAGCCCTCCCGGGCCCCGCCTCCTAAAAACCATCCTGGGCTCCCCTCCCTAAAACCATCCAGGGATCCCCTCCATAAAACCATCCCGGGCTCCCCTCCTAAAAACCATCCTGGGCTCCCTTCTTAAAACCCTCCCGCCCTCCCTCCTAAAAATCATCCAGGCTCCCCTCTTAAAAATTATCCCTGGCTTCCTTCATATCCCTTGGCCCTCGGGCTGCATCCTGCTCACCTCTCTGTTGTCAGGGGGTGAGTGCATGAGTTCAGTTCTGACCTGCATCCTCAGAGTCCCTGCAGATCCCGTTCATCTCCCTCCTGGCAGTTCTTAGCAGTGAGATGGGAATATCCATTCCTCCCTCTCTCCCAAGTTCCCTGACAGTCACCTGCTTGGTGGCAGGCTCCCCCTCAGCACCGAGGATACAGAAGCCCATAAGCCTCCCAGATGGCCATCCCGGGGCAAGGATGCTCAAACCCTTCCCAGACCCCAGCCCAGCATTCCCCCAGGCGCTGTCCTCAACACCAGAGACACTCAGGAGAGGAGGGCGATGGGGGGCCTGGCACTTGGCGAAGAGTAGAGCAGACCCAGCCCCCCAGCCTTGTTTGACCTTAGGCTCAGCCTTGTTTCACGCTTAGAATTGGGTGTCCCAGTCTCTGCTGTCCATCGGGGCTCGGGTGGCCTCTGGGCTTCCTGGACCCCAAGCTTTGTGCTTTTCAGGAATGGGCTGCAGTGTGAAGGCACAGGCAGGAATGTTTCCTGTGAGCATCAGCCAAGCCTTCTTGCCACTCAGTCTCTGCACTCAGCATCTTCAGGACCGGCCCCCGGGGTGAGTGCTGGAGACTGGACAGTGGGACCCACGGGAGGGAGAGCCATTCCACGTGTCCTGTAGCCTGACACTGTAGCCTTGGCCCCACCCTCCTGCTTCCAGAAGATTTCCTTGTCCCTGTTTCTTTGATGGGAACACTGAGCCTTTGGTACAGGAGTGGCTGCCCAGTGACACCAGGGGGGACCCCTGAGATTCAGAGCATCAAGTCCTCAGCGAGTGCTGGGCAGATAAGATGCGAACCCATTTCTCTGGCCTAGTGGAGGCCCAGATGACCGAACGGAATGAGAGGCCCCTAGTGAGGGACCAACAGTGGACTGGGGTTGGGGTCCAGCCCCTGAAAGTTCCTATGACCGCTGACTCATGCCAGCACCTGCTTTATGTGGGGGCTCCTGGCCCAGCATGGGGCCCCCTCTGCCTCTGCATTTTTGCACTGGGCCACAGAAATGGATTCACACCCCGGGCCGGTTTCCACCCCGGTGCTCTTGTCGAGCGAGGCACCTCACTGCTGCCTGGCGGAATAGCATGTGACCACTCTTTGAGCGGGACCGTGGCTGAGCAATTCCTGCTTTCTATTTCTTCGCAGAATCCAACGCTTGGTAGCCTGGAGAAGGCTCTTCTCACACGGAACACTTCCTCCGGGCAGGGCTCGCACCTCTACTCCCCGCTGATGTCCCCACGCGTGGAACAACGGCTGTTTAATTCGTGCTTAGCAGGAAGCTGTCCGGTGACTGCAGCCCTGCCTGAGAGGCCGGGGGGGGGGGGGGGGGGTGGTGGGATGGGGGGATCGCTCAGACATTTCAGCACTGGACAGCGCCCGGCCCTGAGGCTTTGACTGGCATCCTGCGGGCACTGGTGACCCAGCCCATGCCAGCCTGCCTCGATACCTGCAGACTCTTCTGCTTCTTGAATTCGGCAGTTCTTTTCTGTACTCACGAACCTCAGAACATTTCCTCCTGCGTCTCTTCACCCCTAAGGCTATCATGCCCTATATTCTCCCTCCCTCGCCCCCACTGTCCCCTCTTTCTTTCTTTCCTTTCCCCCTTTGTGCCTTGCCCCTCCACCACACACACCCCCCTTTGCTGTCTTCCTTATCTCTCCCATCCTCCCGCCCTCCTCCCCCTTCCCAGAGGTGTCCTAATTTCAAAGGACCGGACTCAGCTGTCCCCCACCCCCCAACCCCAGCTGACCTGCAGACTCTTGCCTTTTTTTCTGTTTGCGTTCAGTTTTGCAAACAGCAAAAATGAAACCCCGTGGGGTTCTGCATCCCCCATCCTAGTATCTACCCACAGTCTTCTCCGCTAGGGACCCGAGCCCATCTCCCCACCCACCCAATGCGCCCAGGTGTGACCCAGGTCAGGAGCCGGTGGGTGGATGCCTGCATCCGCCTTCTCTCCCCTGGGGCCGTGCCCTCTCTGGGTGATGGTGGATGAATGACTCCTGGGCTCTGGTTCCTGGGAGCGGGAGTGGGAGGGCGGATGGGTTCCTCCTTGGGGACGGACTGTAGCAGCGGGGGGAGGCTTGCTGAGTCATGCATGCTGGCTGGCTTGCTCTTGTTCCTAGCGCAGGAGCCAGGCAGCGGCAGGAAGACTTGTCTAAGGAGAAGGGCAGGCACCGCTGCCTGTGTTCTTGGCCCCCTACCCGCCTGCCCCTTGTAAAGACTCTCCCTGCCCCTGAGTGTGGGGAATGGGGTTCAGAGGGGCTGGGGGAAGGACCAGAGATGACACAGCCAGTCACTGGGGAAGTGAGACATAGAACCTACATCT